TTATACATTGTGCAGGAATACACAAGGTGAAAAAAGGCAACGAGATGTCTTAGCAACATTTTAGAGGACGCAAACTATCATTCTTATTACAGTAATCTAGTCATTGACTACCTGTCGCTGCTGATTTTTCTCTTTCTTCTTTAGCTTAGATTTTTCATTTTTGTCTTTTCCTTGGTGGCACCATAAAATTTTATCTCCGACATGCACAAAAGGTATTCCGTCAAATGGGATAATAGGCCCTTGTAACGCTTCATTTTCCTTTCCCAGTAAACTTTTACGTTGTCTTTTCTAACATCTGAATATGTTAATGATTAAAATTTTACAACCGGGGACGTCTTATATCAATGTAAATTTTTGGTTGTGCTGTTTTTAAAAAGCGTAATATTACGATTAAATTAAGCGCAAGAAGAAACGATTACCAGAGCGTTGTGTCTCTTTATTTATAGTAGTAAAGTGCACTTAATTTATTAGTATGCTATTTACTACTTTTTTATGCAATTAATTTTGTACATTTCAGCTTTTTCAACTGCCACTCAAATTAATTTTATTAAATTGACGATGTATTAAACTGTTGAGCTAATTACCTTTTGATCCAAAGCTCTTATCACCGTAGTAGACAATGAACTTGCTGTTTGTCTCAACTTCGTATTTCACGATAAGCGGCATTACATCAGACAGGCTTTGCACGGCAGCCCTGTGGCCGTCACAGCAGTCCCAAATTTTATTCATTGACATTAATTCGTTGAAAAATTTACATTACAAAGATAGTAAATTTTCATAAGTTTATAATGACGAACTATAGCCTATATGCGTGGTGTTCATTAATTGTTTTCCGCAAAATTTTAAAATGGCGCATTGCATTATAACAAAAAGGACATCCTTCAAAAGAACACGGTATACTCGTGATGCTCTCGTTTCTTTTTCCGAAGATATTGCAAAACTCGCACCAGTCTCCCAGCGGAAATCTTATTTTGAAGTATACTATCTAGCAATCACCAAATTAAACGTTTCCATGCATTTTGCACAATTTGTCATCAATATATAGGTACTTTGACACTCAATTAACATTATTGATTCAGTTTTATAACACAGAAAAAATAAAAAACAAACAACATCAAATCTTTGGAATTGACAACTAAACTATACTATTTTATTGTTGATGCTGACCATGTAGTTAATACACTGCTGTTTTCACTTAACTTAATTACGTTCATACCAAGGTTGGTTATGCTGATTTGACATTGGCATACCTAGACTTGCAATAGTGGTACCCTCATGTGTGGTTTGTACCAGTTCAAGTTGACTGAAATTAAAACCACCATAGGGATACATGTTGTGAGGAGACTGCTGGTGAGCAATCTGGATATTTGGAGGCGAAGATGTGGGGCTTCTGATTGATAAGGTCTACTGTACTTCATGATCATTTCCAACATCTTTATTTCGTGTTGCCTGTTGAGCTCTGCTTGTTCTCTTTGAAAATTTAAGAACTCCTGTTGCCTTTTCTTTTCAGCTTCAGAAAATAACTCTGAACGCTTTCGTTGCATCTCTCCCATATCAGAAAAAGACTTGGCCATATTCTGAATTGCTTGTGCTTGGCTTATTACTCTTTTTTGAAAAAAAGGTCTGATTTCAAGTTTAGCTTTATGTTTCCCTTTGGTGTTACTGCTGGAGCTACTGTTCGTACTGGCTTCTAGTACATCATCGCCACTATTATCAGTTGCTTCAATGCTAAGGCCGCTGGTATTACTAAAAGGTGTATCTGGTCTATCAACTGTCTCATCCTCCTTGTCTGAATCTGACAATGAATTGTCCGATTCGTAAGATAACAGAACATCACCACTACAGGAAGCAACATCTGCATCTCCCATGGTATCAGAAAATATTGGATTAATGATGGTGAACCACTCTGGCTCAACAATCGGTGCCTTTCCGCTTCCCTTTTTAACACGATCTGTAAATTTTCGCAACTGACTTCTAAGAAACTTATACTTAACTTGGAGCCTAGCTGGAGTAATTTCCAGGGGGGTATCTTTCAATTTTCGTTTCGAATTTTCTCTTTCACGTTTGCTTTCTTCTTTGAATTCGTCAGATTTTAGGTATGTTTCAAGATCTTTTGCAATTTCTTCATAAACACACAAGTTTGCAGACTTCTTTAATGCTAGCGTTTCTAATTGAACAGCATACTGTTTCTTTTCATCTGCTAGTACAATTGCAAAGTATTTTAATTCAGTTTCGGTCCAAACTCGCTCCTTCTTAGCCCTATTTTTCTTGTTCGAATCATGAACCATTTCATGAACACGATCATTGCTTCTATCCGCCATATTGACTATTATGGGTGAAATCCGCTAACAGCGAGTAACGAAGTACAGCGAGTCCACAGTACGCATTTATACTCATAGACGGATGATGCGTCAAGACGAACTACCCATGCAAATTCGTGTAAACAGACGAACTATTCTGATAATTCGTCTTGACGGATGATCCGTCTGTTTGCCCGTATTTAAACACAGACGAACTTAAAGACGAACTATGTTTTTCTTGCCCAAGTTCGTCCAGACGGATGATTCGTCTCTAGTATAAATCGGGCCATTGTGAATTAGTGTGAAGTGTAATGTTTTTAGTTGATCGTTTGTATTGTGAATAAGTGGTTTGTATGGTGCCGACAATTGCTGTGATCTGTTCAGGGGGGTTTGTTCCAAGTTGGTATACCAACTTTCTAATGTAAGCCGTTGTCTATAGTACAAAGGTACACACTACAAACAATTACATGGCACAGCAATGGGCTCACCCGTTTCTGTTGTAGTTGCTGAAATTAAAACGCAATCTATAGAGGAACGCGTGCTCGCAACTTACAAACATGCACTACCTTTTTCGTTCCGCTATGTAGATGACACAATCACAGCACTACATGCAGAGGAGATTATGGCGTTCCGTTGCGGACAAAATTATAAGTCAGTATTGTGTAAAATTGACTATTGATATTTTAAATCGTACATTGAAACTTTAAAATAGTATATCGAAATTTTAAAATCGTATATCGAAATTTTAAAATCGTATATTGAAACTTTAAAATCGTATATCGAAATTTTAAAATCGTATATTGAAATTTTAAAATTGTATATCAAAAGGAAACGGAAATTTTAAAATCGTATATTGAAAGGAAACGGAAGTGTTCTACAAACTCAAAGAGTAATAATTCCGTGTACAGTGAATCCGTAAACGAAAAAATGGCGTCTCGTTGGCTTCCAAACATCGAAGAATTCTTCGAAGCACTTTTGAGGCTAATCGGAACAGCTGAATTGCTAGCAACTGCAGCTGATAGTTATTCTTACGACGCAGCTGAGTTCCACTTCAGAAGACTAGATACATACGAAAGAACAGTCTACGCTGCGCTCTCGTGTGGCCGAAAGTTTGAATTGGGAAATGTCAGAAAACACGACAACAGAAAATGTTCCTGCGGTTATTGTTCATCTGTGCTATATTTGTCATAGGACGAGTTTCCTCAGACAACGTTTTGAAGACATATTTTACAGGAGCATCCATAGTGAACGCGAAGCAATTAATGACAATCAATCTTTGGGAAGAAGTGAGCAGGTTGGTCCAGGGAGACCAAGGTTTGCGATGACCCGAGAGCAACTAGAAGCTTTGAATAACTGCAGTAGTGGATTTAGGTGGAGTGAAATATCAAGAGCTTTTTGAACGCATTTTACGTTCTATGCATCGGGTGGACCCTGTGATTTCTACATTGAGGAAACTACAAGGATCATAAGACGGTCTTATAATGTTCCATGCCATAACGCCTTATGGTAATATATGACACATAGTGACATTGTTGTTTGTTGTATTTCATCTAATTAAGCAACTACTCTCAGTTTAGGCCATCTTGCTTTAATTTGTAGGAAAACGGCAAAACATTTTCATTGAATATATTTTATTTTCAAATCTACATTTGCTATTTGCCGGCATATTGATGGAAATCATAAATTGATTGAGCTATATCGCATAGTTGTCCATGGGGGCATAGATGGCTACTCAAGACTGGTAACCTATCTCCATGCATCAACTAATAACAGAGCAGAAACAGTATTGAGCTTGTTTGAATATGCTGTTCAGTGCTATACTTTATCGTCAAGAGTCCGTTGTGATCTTGGATTGGAAAATATTCAAGTTGAGAGATCTATGCTAAATGAAAGAGGTCTAAATCGGGGGAATATCATCACAGGCACATCCGTACATAATCAAAGGATTGAACGACTGTGGAGAGATGTTAATCGTATTGTGATATCAAAGTTCTTAAACATTTTCTTGTTTTTGGGAAATAGAGGTGTTTTTAATCCGGTCAATGAGGTTCATTTATTTTTCTTCAATTGGTCTATATTGACTTTATTAATATCGCTCTACAAGAGTTTGTAGCTCAATGGAACAACCATCCAGTCACAACAGAAAGCAACCATTCACCACGACAAATATGAATTAGGGGAATGGTAGAGTTGAGACATTGTGGTTACAGTGCTGTGAATGATGTTATTAGAAACAATGCATTTTCTTCCTATGGTATTTCTGAGTATGGGCCTGTACCAGAAGAAGATCGTTCTCATGTTGTCGTTGTCCCGCAAACCCAACTTAGATTAAACAATGAACAAATGGACTCGATCCTTACTGTGATAAGACAGGGACAAACTGAAGATGATCCGCGTAGAATCGAATCTTATTTAGCTGCTGTTCAACATGTTTCCTTGCTTCTCAATGGACAGTGACTTCTAACTTGATGATGTGCATCATTTTCACCTTCAGATAACTATTGTAACAATAACTAACATCACTCATAGCAGTCTAACTACACCAGTTCCAAACCAAGTGAGCCATACTTCAGTGCAACATCCATAAATATTTTGAAGTCTTCATATGACTTGTGTTTAGATGGCAGTGTAATAGTAGAGAAGCATGTCTCAGCATGTGGCAGTTTGCTTGAATCATCAAATTTGACCACTAATGATCCCCTTGCAGGTAAGGTATTTGTTCCACAACAAAAGCAACATAAGTCTGTTAATGATGGTTGACCTAAAAGTAAAACAATACAGTGTGAAATGTAACCTTAGACAGCAACTTTGTACCATTGATAAAAGAACCACAAAAAATCAAATGTCTTTAAAATAACAAGAAATACTGTAGCATTAATCAGTACTGACATGGGGTATCAGGTGCCTGTGAATAAATGTGATTTTAATCACACAAGTGTTGCCCTTGTCTTCTACACTCGAGTAATGTGGGGCAAAAAAAAGATAATTGTAATAGAAAACTCTTGTGTAGAACTTGTAAAATAGTTCGTTTGGTATGATTGAAAGTTAAGTAGTGATTAATAGTACCTTCTTCATATTTTGCCAGGAAATATAAATACTTCGTGAAAAAGGCTTCGTGAAAATTTCTAACATGTTGGTGGGTAAGTGACCAATGAAAGAATGCAAACCAGCATCCTCCATACCTGTAGCAACAAACAACAGAAAAATCAATATCTAAAATAGTTTGCATTACTGGATGAAATCTAGGTCTCAAGCTAATTTCCCTTCCGGAAATGCAATGCATCCAAAAGAAAGAACAAGGTAGCATCTCTCCAGCATTTATTTCACACTTTGACATCAAATAGAGGAAAAATATTCAACAGTGCTCTCATGGAAAATAGTGGCATAGTTAATGCAGCCGATTTCAATTGTGACTGAATCACATGATAAGCATTGTATCAAAATTAGTAAAAAATATAGGCCAAACCTTTAGCAATGTCGTCAAGTTCTCTGCGCCTCTTATCAATGACTTGATAAAACATCAGGTCTTGAATGGCAAGCTGTGTGTTTCCTGATAATATGTCCATGTCAACTCCAGACTCAAAAAGATAAGGGCAAAGCTTGTTTAACATCTCAGGTGATGGGGTATGACAATTTTCCAGCTGGAAAAACAGATACCAAATATGCAAAAAGTCTTATATAAGTCATTGTTGATCCAATTAAACCCATAATCCAAGTAAAACAAATAACAGGTGATCATGTGTAGAGGTACATACCTCAGTTATCATTTCACGTAATTCAAGATCGGCAATATCTTCTGGAACAATTGGGAGTGCATGTGTAGCAATATCTTTGTCTTTAATTTGTGGTGATCCTGTTACATGGCAGTAATGCAAAATTGCTGGTGAAAAGCCACAAGGAAGAGGACAGCCATGCCTTAAAAACACCTGTGCATCTGAATGCTTGATCATTTCTGGGCAGTAAATGATTGTCTTCACCATAAAAAAAGACCAGTGGCTTTTTGTTTTTGTAAATATAAAAATAATTCCTTAATTAATGTTCTAGCATGGCTTTGTCACTTAGATCTTTTACACTGTTGCTATGTATTATAGAGCATGAACTGCAAAACATGAAAAATTAGGAAAAATGTGGGTAAAGACTAACTCAACAGTTGCTGTGCAGCAGCATCCACATCTCCTCCTGCATTGGATAATGCTGGCTCTATTTCTTCTGCTGAGGCAGTGGGCACAACATCAAGCAAAATATTACTTTGAACACTAGTTATGAAAAAAATACAATACACTGATATGATAGAAGAAACCCACACAATTAAGGGGTGTTTCGTGGTGAGTTTCATCCAGGGACTGTCTCGCTCTAGTTCTGTTGCAATTCATATATATGTTGTCACACCTGTTTGGTTGCTTTTGCATTTGAATACGGCTTTTGTTAAACCAGGCAAGAACATAAAGCAAAGCTTGGAAATTCAGCATGTAACTGGACATTCCACTTACTTAACATTATCCTCACTCTCTTTTCTTCGTTTCTTTATTTATAACTGCAATACGCAATGTTAAACATTTTATATTATATACCAGAAAATATTGAACTACCAACATACCAGAATAGTATCAACAAATGAAAGAAATTAACTCACTTCTTGATGGTTCTGGAGTGAAGAATCGCTCATAGGAACATCATGTGTATTCTTCTGAATTTTGCATCCATCCTAACAGAAAATTGCATGTTAATGTTGCATATAGTTTACAAATGTGATTAAGCATGGATCCTTGTTACATTTAATAAAAATGTTGTAATAACATGAACTCACTTTAATAATCACTTCTTTATCCATTTGTGATGATTCACCTCCAGGTATATAGTAGATTATCTTTTCAGCTCTACACTCATTATCCGCCTCAGAAAGAATTGTGAATCAATTATCAACTATTCTACTGCCCAGTAGAGAATTTAGTTTACACACAACTGAAACTGGGTTTCCTAGGAGTATCCTGTGCATCCAGTTGCCTTATCTTTATAAATTAAGCAATGAAAAACTTGCTTTCATATGTTTATGAATGTGGTGTAATTATGCCCTCCAAACTCATTCAATATAACTTACTCTGTCATAGAGTAACTCTTTAGATGCTCTACTATATATGGGCCCAGTTCCAGAAATATGTTTAAGTACTATCCCTGTGAGTTCTTGACCTTCTTGGAGCTTTATGGGTACAATCTCACTTCCAATAGATCTCACAAATTCAAATCTAAATGTAGTACATGTATTAGCCATCTTGTACTTGTTTATTCTAATTTCACATTTTCAATAAAATGGTAATGCTGGCTATATCACAATACTTGGGTGTAGGAAAAAATGGAAAACTGTCCAACACACTTTCTGCCACGACTACTCTTCACACTTCTTCATTTGAGATGCATACAATAAACATAATACAATAAACCAATACTATTGACATATGTGGGCTTTATGCTTAGTCAGCATGCACACACAAAACTGTTTTCATTGATTAAAAAATACAACTATTTAATACAGTCTGCTATGATAAACCAAACTGCATCAAAAATGCGATCTGCTAAAAACTATGTACCAGTAATCTTACCCTACTTCTTCTTCTTCTTGCCACAAGTGCTCCGAAAAAGCATGCCTTAATTCTTCTCGCAGTTGCACTTCTCCGAGATGCACATAGAAAGGCCCTGCATCGACGAATAACCCTGCCCTAACGAGCTGGCTTTCACTTTCCGTATGGGTACGTCATCCCAAGTAGGAGTAGGCAAAAGGCAAACATCTTTTATGATGAGTGCTGAGACAGAGGCTTCTTTACCAAGGCTTTTTTTAGTGAAACGACCATCGGTAGTCTCATCGACGATTAAAGAGAACTTCTTTCCTTTCACATCAGCAATTCTTATTTCAGCGCAGGACTGACTACATTGATAAGAATTTTGTGCATTTCGTACGATGTATCTTTATGTTTTCGAGTCTACTTCCTGTTGCATTTCGAGCTATAATCTCCCCAAGATGATCCATGGTTAGAATAGAAGAATGACACACCATTGTCACAGCTAGCTCAATTTCTGTACGTTTTACTTCGTCGGCGATCGTTAGGTTTCGCACAACTTGAATTGGCCTTACTGACGTTGAAGCTTTCACCCGTTGCACGTGCTTATCACTATTTTCGTGCTTTGTCAAATTTGATAGTTTGGGCTTTATTTGAGTATGGCAAAGCTTACAATACCCATCTTCACTTCCATCTGATGCTTTCGAAAGCCAGATAAATTTGCTCTCCCACATTTTGGTATATTTTCTTCCAGATACATATGATGCTTTCCATTTGGCTGCCATGTTCAAAATATAATGATGCTATGAGCCTATGACTGGAGGAAAGAGCCTGGGAAGTAGTGACAGAATAGAACCATTTTGTTTATCTTTTGTGAAAGAACTGTGAAACTTAGTAGTAATGACATTAAAAATCTGTGGGAAGCAAAAAGAAGCCAAAAAGAAGCCAAATGGCCAAATTTATTTTTTGAGGCCAAGCAATGAAAAGAGAAGCCAAATTTGAGTTATTTGGCCTCCAAAAGGCCGATCTGGCAACCCTGTTTATTAATGTTTGTTTCCCTAATTTTTGTTTCATGTCAGTTACAGAGGGTATATGCAATTTACATTTGATAAATTTATAATTTTGCAGGGCTGTATTTTTTGTTCATTAATAATAGATTTTATTTTGTCAAACATTTCTTGATAATTAGATGAATATTAATACAAAAGCTTTGTGAAAAGAGGATCAAAGATTTCATCATTGAATTTTATCCATTGTTTTTGTGTTTTTGCGCATTGTGATGGTCCACAAATAGTCATCATAAAAGGATGTTGAAATTTTACAACTGGTTGGTATAACATATTTTCAATCTAATAAATCACCATATAGAATTGTAAAAAAATCATGTAATATAATACGTTTGTAAAATGTAAATGTGAATTTTTCATTTCTTTGTTTAAAAATACATTTTGTTGGTTATCACGTGATATATTTTCCTTATAAATTACTTCAATTATTTTTTCATTGTCTTCTACACACTCATTTATCGAATTGTTATTTTCCTTTTCCCATCATCCTTTAAAGACAATCTTTTTGCAAGCACTATTTCATTATTTTTATTTGTTTTATAAGAATAACTTTTCCGTCCAGTTCAACAAAGTGATACAATATATTCGTCATTATCTAATTCATTAGTAAGATTACCTAGGTAGTTACCTGTTTTAATATCATTATTTCCATCAACACTAATGTAAATTATCGAATGGGATCATAATATAAAACTTCATTGTTTAACATATGTAATATATGTAATAGCTCTAATCTTACATAACTGGTTACAAACGAAGCAATAACAACATTACGATTAGGTAAAATTGACAAACATGTTTCATTTTTTTTATGTTGTTCTTAAAATATCCTAAGACACGATATTTAAAGAAGTTAATTCATTAGTATGATTGTTTGTTAAATGCAGTAAACCTTATAAGTTATTAATAAATAGTACTGTAACTGCATTATCACTTTTTGCGAACTTTTCCCATAATGAATTTAAAATTATTTTAACAATTGTATGAATACATATATTTTTTTAATTTTATTTCTAATTGAATTCTTTCATGTTTGTAATAATCTAATATGAAATCATTTAGTTTATCTTTATTAACAGTTTTCTTCTCATTATAACATTCTGCAGGAATACCACTATTTTCTTGTTTCATTTTCATAAAATTATTTACAATATTGGCCAAAAATTTTACCTTTATTTTTATAATGATAAATTTCATGTATTTTAATTATTCTATAACCACATTCAATAGCTTTAATTATCTTAACACTAGTCCACATACCCCTTAAAGCTCTCTTGTCATCATTATGATTACACATTTGATTTTTTTCATAGCACAAGTGTAACACAATCTAAATATCAATTTATTATCAATTCATAAGGGTAAAACAGAAAATAGAAGTGTACTAGGTGGTAATATACAGCATTTAATTAAACCAAACATACTAGCAACATCAATATTTAAACATTTTTCCTCTAAATATATTTCAGGATGATTTAGAGGGTATTCATATTTTTTTGAACATATGGGTATGATGTCAATCATAATAATATAAACATGAAGGTGATGTTCTACCACCATATAATGCATAACATGGATGTAACACAAGAAAATTAAAAACTTCCTCTTTCCTACTTTTTATTTCACTAATATTTTTGTCTTTTAAATATTCACATTCCCACATTTCGAGTACGTTATAATTATTATCAAGTAATTGTTTCGAAAATTGTTCTGTTAAGCATTCTTAAAAAATACATTTTTTCTTTTTTCAGTGTATTATAATCATCATTATTAAAACATTTATTACAATCATGAAAATAACATACGTGAAATTGATATATTTTCTGCACATTATCCATCAACAAATCTATCTAAAAATTTTCTTCCTCCATTAATGGATAATTTGTATTCTAAAGTGTACCCCCATTTCATCTTGTAAACAATTACTTCTGAATAATTTTGGTGTTAAACCAGCAATTGTTATGCATCGTAAAACGGTAAAATATTTGTAAAGTTGTAGATAAAATTTGAAACTTTTATACACCCAAGTCTTAGTATATTAACGTCAATACTACAATAGTAATAAATTGCATGTCGAAATATGTATTCTTTTTTACATTGTTTGTTATACCATGAGTCAAAATCATTTGCTTCACTTTCTGAAATATCAATGTACTTTTCATCAGTCATATTTCCCCTTTACGTCAAATCAAAAAATTTGTATGGATGATATCCTTTTACAATATCAATTTTGAGTGATTTTGGAAAGTTTGCCAATTTCGTCATTATTAATAAATATTTTTCCAATTAATACAGCCACAGCAAAACAACAATTCTTAATTTGACTTTGTAACTTGTCACACTTAATTTGTAAAATGCCATTTCTGATTTCTCTTTTATTTTTTAATACTGGACGATTTGTTTACCCCCACTTACTATCATCATCAGGATTTAAGTTATAAATAAGCTTTTTGTTTTGTTTTTCCAAATTAGTCTGTTTCTTTCTCATTTTTATATTCTTTAAAAGTAATAAGGCTGTTGAACAAAGTGTTAATGGGGGTTTTTTGACAAAAATCTAACTAAATCATTTCACAGATAATCTGGCTGTAGTATTCAGAAAATATAGTAATATTTTTGAAAATTCTTTCAAAAAATCGGGTAAATTGTTGAAATTGCTTTTTTGATAAAAACTTGATATATGTGATCCTTAACTTCACCATTTAATGTAAAACTGTTTTTTTATATTGCATTTTATTTTATATAATTTAAATCAATTAATTATTTATTTTTTGATATATTTAATTTTTTCACCAATTTTTGAGTGAAATGTACTAACTATTTTCATTATTTCATTATTTGAAATAATTTTCATTTTTCTTCTTCTATTTCTTCATTTTTTCTTTTTGACATGATTTTTCTTTTTCTTTATCTTTGATTTTTTTCTTCACCGTCTACATTATCATGATAATCAATTTCATTTTTGGAACCTTTTATATGCATGCAGTTTAAATTTAATTTTATAAGCAGTGTATTGTTGGATGGTTTACACATAGAATTACGCATTGCTGAAATTAATTAATAAAATGCCAGGAAAAACAATGTCATATAGAAGTTCATTTATTTTTAAATAAAAATGATAAAGGAAAATAAATACTAATGGAAGAGCTAGTACTATTTGTACCAATGATATAGAGGATAATGATAAGTGTATTTTATTCTCACCTTTCTTATTTCAGCAATCAATTCAAGATTAGAAATCAGATGAGAATAATGATAATTCTGTAAGATATTATGATGTTAATACAACAAAAAATATTTTTTTGTTCAAAAAAGATATATATAATCTTGAATCAAGTTATTCTGATACATGTTTTAAAATTGAGAAATTAATTGAATACATTGAACAAACTATTGAACTTTATGCTGGAATAAGATTAATTTACTAAAAATGAAACAAAGTATAAGAGAAGTACAACAAAGTGATGGAATTACCTTGAAAAATGTCGAAAAAAAAACTTTAATGACCAATTTATGTTGGATACATTTGGGAAAAAAATTTAATTTAAGAATTAAATTCCCATAAAAAAATTGCATATAAAAATCCATTTCAAAAAACAAAAAAATGCAAACTACACTGGAAGGCTCTTACAGCTTTAGCAAGATCAATATGTGTCGAGCATAATCAATATATATTCTATTTTCTATAAGAAATCTACAAATTACTTCTTTATTTACATTAGTTATGTTAATTTTATTAATTATATCGAAAAATTCTTTACATGATATGTAAATTGTAAATAATCATAAATTCAAAATAATATCTATATATATTATCACACCTTAAACCTAAATGAAAATTGTCTTTTTTTACAGCGTGAGAATCTTGCAAATAAATTTTAAAATGATCATATAAAATAATGTCCCTTTCCCTTTTTTGAAATTAAAAACACTGTATCTACAACAAAAATCTTCATTAAATAATAATAACTTTTTATATTGCATATAAATTATACCCCCCAGTAATTAGAAATTAGATAAATATGTTCAGTGTTTTCTTAATCCCAACAACATATAAACCCCAATATCCCTTATAACTTTTCAATAAAATCTATTTTTTTTGTACATTTCAACATTTCAATAAAATAAAAATTTGAATGTTTGAAATCTTTTGCACTTGATTTAATCTTCATCAATTTCATTTTGGATGGAGTTCTTTTAAATTTCAATAAATGGCTGCATACAAAATGCAATTGGTATAATAAAGGATGACCAGGATATTTGTTTAGTAAAATAGCAAATGCTTGAATTATTAAAATAGAAAAATAACTTTTATATAACTTTTATACTTATATAACAATTATAACTTTTTATATTGCATATAAATTATACGCCCCAGCAATTAGAAATTAGATAAATATGTTCATTGTTTTCTTAAAGTGGTACTATGACGAAAATTTTGCCTCTCGTTTTTTTTTCATAGATTAATAGTGTATGTAAAAAAATCTCTTCTGGCGAAATTTTAGCGCAATGTATTTCATGCTGCTCGAGTTACGTAGCGATAAAACTTGAACTTTAAGAGCCGCCATTAAAATGCGCCATATTTGAATTTTCAAGAAGGAAGGTGCTTGTGACGTCATAGTCTTAACTCGCGGCTGTTTACAATATAACACTATATGCAAATAGAGATTTAAAAGGTTGTATAACTCAATTTTTTCAACATGCCTTCAACACGCTGTGTCGTGCAAGATTGCAGTAACAAGTCTGATAGAATTACAGGCATTTCATTACATAAAAGCAAAAACGACGAGTCTTTGAGAAGAATTTGAGTTAAATTTGTTCAGACGAAGCGCGCAAACTTTAATCCGAGTTCGCGCGAAATTCGATTTATGATTTGTTCGAATCACTTCTCGGATGATTGTTTTGAGCGTTTATTCCATTTGGGTGGTATGACTAGACGGCTCAAACCTGGTGCCGTACCTACTATTTGGAAGAAATCACAAACACCAACAACGTCAAGAGAGCGGCGTCAGGTTAGCACAAGTTGCAATTATTATATACTTACACATATCGCAGATGATAAATTTTCACAATTTGAGAGAACCAGCAATACATCCAGGCAAACTTTCAATATATAATATACATTTATACTAAGGTTTTAAAGGAAATACAAAATGAAGTGTCTGTATCATGCGATGACCTTTGGTCTTTAAACCTAACGAAGCTGCGAAGAAACGAAGAACAAATTCGTTCAGGCAAACTTCATTAAAGCCAGGGTGATCCAAAATGCATTTCCTTTCATCGATTTCGAACTGATACATTTTACCACGGCATTGCTCTATTTCCATGCAGCATCGGCACTCTTGAGGGTTGACAACAAGATCCAACGAACAATGGCCACATTCACACTTTTAATATTGGCCAAATTGTATGTTTCCATAAAGTTATCATAGCTAACGGCAGACGATTCAGATCAAAGTAAAACACTAAGAATGACATCTTACCATGAAGTAACATCAACACGGGCATCAAAACGATCTTGCAGCATGTCTTCAACCCGCCGTTCTTCTGCGACTGCAGCTTCGTACTCAGCAATTTCATCGGGCGAAGCAAGCGGTTGAATATTATCGGCAAATGGCAAAATTTTCGAATTAGATTCGTCCGAATTTGCCGTCATGAATTCCGATGAAGAAATCGATGCGTTTGTCTCGATCGAAGACTCGGAAAGCGAGCTAGATCTCGATGAATTTGACATTTTTTTGCTCTACTTATGTATTACTTTGTATACTTTCCAATGTGCGCTTCTTGCCGTGTTAAGACTATGACGTCACAGACCTTTGCTGATTGCAAATATTCAAAATGGCCGATTTTAATGGCGGACATGAAAATTAGACATTTCAAATGTTCATAACTCCCTCTTTATACTATTATTTTTGCTTAAATTTTACGAAAGCAATAATTGATATGTGTTTAAACTATTGAATGCTAAAATCGATGATTTTTTAACGTTCAGTTTTCGTCATAGTACTACTTTAATCCCAACAACGTATAAACCCCAATGTCCCATATAACTTTTCAATAAAATCTATTTTTTTTGTATATTTCAATATTTCAATAAAAAAAATTTTGAATGTTTGAAATCTTTTGCACTTGGTTTAACCTTCATCAATTTCATTTTGGATGGAGTTCTTTTAAATTTCAATAAATGGCTGCATACAAAATGCAATTGGTATAATAAAGGATGACCAGAATATTTGTTTAGTAAAATAGCAAATGCTTGAATTATTAAAATAGAAAAATAACTTTTATATAACTTTTATACTTATATAACAATTATAACTTTTTATATTGCATATAAATTATACACCCCAGCAATTAGAAATTAGATAAATATGTTCATTGTTTTCTTAATCCCAACAACGTATAAACCCCAATGTCCCATAATACTTTTCAATAAAATCTATTTTTTTTGTATATTTCAATATTTCAATAAAAAAAATTTTGAATCTTTGAAATCTTTTGCACTTGGTTTAATCTTCATCAATTTCATTTTGGATGGAGTTCTTTTAAATTTCAATAAATGGCTGCATACAAAATGCAATTGGTATAATAAAGGATGACCAGGATATTCGTTTAGTAAAATAGCAAGTGCTTGAATTATTAAAATAGAAAAATCCATCGTCATCATCAAACTAAAAAAATTAGTATTTGAGTATTACCATGTTAATAAAATCAATACACAAAAAAAGAAAAAATAAGAGACATTACTCTGTAACATGACCAACACGACAAAAAATATAACCATTTTGTCCTACTACAGAACATGATTTTTGATATAAAGTTTTTCCATCATGTAATCTCCAAAAAATTACTAATTACTTTATTTTTATTCATTTCATGGTTTTTTTGTCACTTATTCTTTTTCGTTTCTTGCCTTTTTTTTTAAATCAGTTATGTCATTATCATATTCTTCTTTAGTATCATCACCATCGTTTTTTAAATGAGTATAAACATTATCAAATAACCCGTCAGTATTTAATGTAGTACAATCCATTTTTTCTATTTTCAATTTTATTAATAGGTTTTTGTCTTTAATTCGAAAATAGTTTTTTCTTTGTATTTTTCCACAAATAAAATGAAAAAAATCAGCTTAGATATAATCCAGCATTAGTTTTGCCAAGGTTGAATTTTACACAATAATTACACCTTTCACAGTTCTGAAATTTACTATCGCAGAGTTCTTTTGTTATGGTCATAACTCTATTTTTTCAAAATAAGTCATATTTTTTCCTACAAAAAAACAAACATTAATATAAAATTATCTTCTGTTTTTTTTTTTATTAACTTACCCTAAGTAGTCTGATTTTTTGGATTATACAAATAAAAATATTTATTACTTTATTGACATGTTTAATTTCATTGAAATTCTTTTCACGTTGTTTTACTTTGAAAATTAATTTTTTTTGTAAGCATTTTAAAATTTCTGTAGGTAATTGATAGACGTCTTTACAATAAGACTTCATAATGTATTCCCATCCTCATACAAATTTTCATCATGATATAAATATTCTTTTAACTGATTCCTTAATCTTTTTCTATACCTTGTGATAATCATGCTTAAAAGAACTTTCTTCCCTTTCAAACATCTATAAATTTTTTCCATGAAATAACTTACAATAAATACAAGAACAAAGATCACAAAAACGAAATTATAATTTAAAATATAATTTACTTGGTCATTTCTCAAAAAAAATTCAATATACTGAGAAATTAATAGTTTCGAGACAATTTTCTGGCATATTTAAAATTTACTTCGTAAATAAAATACAAATAGTATTAAATTTTTACCTGTCTACGTTTTTACTCAACAGTATTTGGAAACAAATAGCGCGTTTTTCCAACAAAATTACCAACGAATATTTCCAACGAAATTGCCAACGAATTTTTTCCAACAAACAAACTTTAGCGCAGCTAGAGAAACTTTGATACAATTGTGATATTTACATGTTCTTAAATACTCTCCTTACAACAAAATGCTCTTGTTTCCATTTCACCTTGAAGGTTTGTATCTACATCTCAATACAGTGTGTCTTTGTTTGCTACTTGCCCTTGAACATTCGAACTTGGCACATTTTAATATTAATTGGAATAAATCCAGATTTTACCTTAAATCAGTGGCGTTGTGGCAGCCAGGGCCCCTAGCTGATGATTTTGGGGGCGCTGAATTGAATACGACTTATCAAGTTTTAAATTTGGGCTATAAAAAAATTAAAAACGCATTTGAAACAGAACAGTTATTTTCACAGTTATATATTCAGTGAATGGAAACCGTTCAAAATAATGAAAACCTCAAAATTTTTTCAATTAAGCGTCTTAATACAGTTCGATGGAATGAAGAGAATTTTGTCTAAACGTATTTCTTTTGAGGTTCGAGTGCATCATGCGAGTGCTCCATCATGCGAGTGGCTGAGGATAGATCATTCACAGAAAGTCAGCGAGCAACAGCAAACGGATTGCAATCAGCTTTTCAGACAAAGCAATTTGTTGTGACTGCCTGTCTTTTCCATGAAATTTTTGGAATTACTGGACCTTTAAGTCGATATTTACAGAGCGTAAATGCTGACTTTGGAAAAGCAATGGTATATTGATTGCTCAATTTCAAGAATTCAAATCATACGTGACAAACCAGAAAAAATCATTGAAATGTCCGATTCTTTTGCGTTTGATGTCGAATGGAGGTCTACACAACCTCGTCGTCGACGACCAATGGACGGAGAACAAACCAGAGATGATATGGCAGATTCACCAAAAGCACAATGGAGGCGAGACACATTTTATAAAGTGCTAGATTCCATTCAATCTTCAATGAAGAATCGTTTTGAAAAGAATCGACCACTAATGAAATCATTTACTTTATTCGCACCTATTCAATTTATCTCACGATCTTCAATCTGCAGTGAAAGCCTTTTGTGATGTGTATAATATAGATTACCACAGATGCGCTACTGAACTGTTAAGCTTTACAGAAACATTTAAAAAAATTTCGCTGTTCTCAGTTTACAACTCAAAGTGACCACGATCATAATGAGCAGAACTTTGAAAGTATTGATGTTGGTGATGGTGATGATGATGATGAAAAGCATTCTGATACTGACATAAGTAAGCATTCAAATAATGCGTCAATTACAGAGAAGGCTAAAACTCTGTCATTCTTAGATGCCTTGAAGCTGCTTTGTTTTCCAAAGTACCTTTATTCGACGCATACCCAACATTATGCAAAGTTTATATTAATTGCAGTGGCTATACCTATTAGCTCAGCAACTGCTGAACGAGGATTCGATCTATGATGGTACAGGAACGCCTGGAATCATTGCTTTTAATGGAAGTTGAAAGGGAAACTCTCCTTTCTATCGACAAAGATAGAATCATAACTTTACTTGGGAACACCTACCCAGCGCTTGCAAAGGCATTGAAAATGAAAGACAAATAACGTAACAGACATATAATTGCTTGATGATACATGGTTTTTAAGTTACTTTCTTTTTTATGAAGATTCATGTTTGTGTTTTATAAAATAAAAATAACTAAAATACTTGAAAATAGCTATAAGAAAAAGTGAAAGGGGCGCAAAATTTGTTTTGGCCACCGCAGTAAAAACTATGCCACCACGCCACTGCCTTAAATATATGTGTCTGGATACAATCTGACATTGACTTCAACAAAATCTATAATATGAATTTTGTATCAAAACTTAGGTGCAAAAATTTTTTTCACCACTTTAGTGTATTTAGTACTCAATGCGGTTTGTGTTATGACAAAAATCGTAAGTCTTAATGTATAGAATAACAGCTAAATTCAAAAAAGAATTGTGTAAATTTGAGAGATTATATTTATGCAATAATAATAACTCAAACAAAATCAACTTGTCATCATCAAATCTATTAAACATTTATCTTCAATATGAATGTCTGGTACAATCTGACACTGACTTCAACAAAATCTAATACTTGATACAATATTGATGAATTCCTTGCTCAAATCCACAAAAATTACACATTATCCAGGAAATATCTTTTGGTTTGACTTTTTTATTGCAAAAATGATTTTTATGAGAAAAGTTAAACGGATAATATTTTTCACAACATTTAAAATAAAAATAACAATATTTTTTATGGTGTATACAATTTTTAAACATACATACTTCTGTATCCTACACATTTTTTCCATCAATCTGTTTTTACATGAAAACGGTAAGTTATATATATATATACATGTTCAACTTATTCAGGTACATAAAATATTATTTTTTCAACATTACTGTTCATAAGGAATTGTATGCCCATAAGGAAATGTTTATCATCATTTTCATCCAAATATTTTTTAAATACTTTAGTAAATACTTCAGCAAAAGATTTTTGTTCCAATATATAATTATTTTTATTTGGGTCAAAGATCATCTTTACAGTACTTTCTTCACATTCATCAATAACTTCAAAAACCCCACATTGCTTTTTCCAACTTAAAATCACATCTGAAGACAGTTTCATCATCATCAGTTATGAATGCAATAGTTCTACTGCGCTAATCTGCCATTATTACTAGCAAGAAATGATATTATGCAATTAAACTTAAATGTCACCCAGACTTCAAAGTTGATACATAATACGTACTACATCTTTATTTATATATACATATCTTGATTCTCAGGTTAGCAGTCCGATAGATACGTGAGTCAGAATCATATAGATTATATGTAAATAATTTTTATTCGATCAGTAATAATGATAGAGTATGAATAACATATGTGCTTGTTTAACAGTATACCAAACGTAAATACATAAACTCACTTCTTTGCCGGGTCCTCACGATCTACTTTAATTTTACTTCAGGTTAGCAGATATAATCAAAGCAATATAATGATTAAGCTTTCGCTCAGGTTAGCATGCGGTAACTGTAAGCTGCACTTATAGACTAAAATCCTTCGTGTCCCAATGAAATTACGCGTCAATTAAATCATGCACAAATTAACCTCGAGTTCTAAACAATTATAATCCGTGCAGTTTGTCAACATTCCAACAATCCATCCTCCCCCTCCCCCCGATAAGAAAACATTACTTATCAGTTTATCTCTTCTGCTGCTTAAATCACCGCAATCTTGGTGATTGGTCTCGAGTACTCTACTGAACTTGTTTAGACCTTTACGTTTCGTACCCTTTCATCCTCTCCCGTGTACACTTTTACTATCTGTCCTACTGTCCACTTTCCAAGTACAGCATTTCCATCAGCCACTATTACCACACCATCAACTCGCACATTTCTCTTTTCCTGCTTCCATTTTTTCCTAAGGACAAGTAACGGAAATGTGTCTCTTTCCATCGTTTCCAAAACGAGTCCACGATCTTTGCACAAACTCCACGCTTCTTCTGGGGTTTTTGGTTTCCTGAAATGGACCTTGTGATACTTGAACAGAGGTTCTACCCAGGAGCATATCATTGGGGCACAAATATGAGCCGTCATCGGGATCATTCGGTGGTCGTCCAATTGGGCGTTGATTTACTAAGTTTGCTACTTCCAGTAAACAAGTATACAGCTCAAACGGAGTAAGTATGTGTTCTCCAATCGCTCTCTTCAGGGCTCGTTTGCAGCCTTTCACCATCGCCTCTGCACATCTGTTTTGATGTGGTGCCGCTGGGGTGCTAAACTTCCATTGTTTGCCCTTTTGCGCGCAGTAGTCTTAAAGTAGCCTTTTGTTAGCCCTTTGGATCATTTGGCGCAGATCGGTCAATGCACCAACAAACTGCGTACCGTTATCACTCAAGATTTCTGATGGGTATCTCCGAATTGAGAAGAATCTTCGCAGAGACTGGATAAATTCCATCGCTGAACAATCGGTGGCGATTTCTAGGTGGACTGCTCGAGTCTTTAGGCACGTAACGATTACGTGCCTACGTAATCGTAATCGTATCGTGCCTTACGATTATGTTTTACTTTCTCTTGTTTCTTCCCACTTTGACCGTCAGTGGTCCAAAGTAGTCGCATGCTGTGTAGTGAAACGGTGGGGAATGGGGTTGGAGTCGCTGTGGTGGTAAGTTGGCCATTATCTGTGATTTACGTTTTGTTTTACGTTCCTTACCGTAATCGTAATCGTATCGTGCCTTACGATTACGTTTTACGTTCTCTTGTTTCTTCCCACTTTGACCGTCAGTGGTCCAAAGTAGTCGCATGCTGTGTAGTGAAACGGTGGGGAATGGGGTTGAAGTCGCTGTGGTGGTAAGTTGGCCATTATCTGTGATTCGGTTTTTGGATTTGCTGCTGGACATGTGCACACTTTGCCTTGATGCTCTTTGCTAAATTGTGTGCTCGAATGATCCAATACATTCTTCTGATTTTTGCTACCGTAGTTGCTACCCCGTGGTGACCTCTTTTGTGAAACTCTTCCACTATCAATTTGGAGATTTGGTGATTATAGGGCAGGAGAGCAGGATGCTTGGTTTCGTAAGAGACTAATGAATTATCAATTCTTCCGCCAACTCTGACAGTGCCTTCTTCATCTGTAAAAGGACTCAGAGATCTTAATTCTTCAGATTTCACTTGTGCACGAATCTTTTTTTGAGCTCTTTTAATCCAGAATGTCCTACTTCTTTCGAGTTCTGCCGGTGTTAAGCAATCTCCTCTTGCTGTGTCCTTCGCTGTCGACCGTACCTTTGCTAATAATGTTGACTTAGCTCTCAAAACCCAAGCAGTAACTCGTACGAGCTTTCTCAAACTTGAAAACCTTTCACTGTCAATTAAGTTTACTGACGTTGTCACTGCACCTACATATTTTGAACGTCTACATTCCCTTTCAACTTCTTTTGCATCGGGTTTTGCGTTTTCGACCGGCCATTCTTCCTTTGGCAAATACAGGAATTCAGGACCGTTTTTCCATATATCCGACAGCTCAACAACACGGAGACCACGGGATACACCATCTGCCACGTTCTGATCCGTTGGGATGTGTCTCCATTGAGCAGGTTGGACGTTGCTTTCTATTTCCCCGATTCGACTTGAAACAAATGGTTTGGGTCGTCTTCCCTGGCTGCGGATCCACGCAAGAACAATTGCGCTGTCGGTAAACAAGACACTCTCTTTTAGTGGTATAAGGAGCTCATTTTGGATGGTCTTGCATAAACGGCTGGCTAACACGGCTGCTTGTAGTTCTAATCTGGGTATTGTTAGCTCTTTCAATGGGGCGACTCGTGACTTTGCTGCAACAAACCGCACGTTCACCACTCCAGTAGGTCCTATACTTCTCAAGTATGCACATGTTCCAAATGCTTTTCGCGATGCGTCGGCAAAGGCACACAAGATCGGTGGCTCAATCATTACAACGGGACATAGACATCTTTTTAACGATATTTCGTTCAACTGATCCATCTCTTTAAAGTACGTCAACCATTTTGTTTGATCACTTTGCAATAGTTCATGGTCCCAGTCGAGTCCTTGCTGCCACAGTTCCTGCAAACCAATCTTTGCTCTTATAAGATAAGGTGCTGCAAAGCCTATTGGGTCTTATATTCTAGCGACTTGGCTTAGGATCTTCCTCTTTGTGAACTTTGGCTGTTGGGTGTGGCATATTTTTACTTTTACTTTATACTTAAGCACATCCTCCTTCTTGTTCCAGGCCAGGCCGAGCACTTTTGACTCTTGTTTTCCATGAGCAACATCAACTTCATTACCATCTTCTTGGTCGTCTTTCCTGTTCAACTCTCGGTTTGATTGCCATCCCTTCACATGAAACCCGCCACTATCAAGGATGCTGTCAATTGTTTTAGTCAACCCGATTGCTTCTTCATTTGTAGCAACTGAATCCAGAATATCGTCGATGTAAGAATTGTCCTTTATAACTTTATCTGCTCTCGGGTTCTTTGATGCTCCTTCATCTGCAGTTTTCCGCAAGGCAACTTGGGCCATCGCTGGTGCTGGTTTGTCACCGAACGTAAGGACGTTCTTAACGAGTGTCCGGTGGTCTATCAATCTCTAAATCCCTCCATAGGAATCGGTGTACGTGCTGGTCTTCGACGGGGATAAGGACTCGGTGGTACATATTTGAGATATCAGCAGTGAGGGCAACTTTCTTTTCCCTAAAACGGAGAATAACTCCGAATAGAGAGTTCAAAAGATCAGGCCCCTTTTGCCAATAATCGTTCAGCTTATGTCCTCGAAACGTAGCGGACGAGTTGAAAACGATGCGAACTGGGGTGCTTGTACTGTAAGGCCATAGAACTGCATGGTGGGAGATGTAATGGACTGGTTCTTTATGTTCTTTAACTTCCTTCTCGGATAACTTTCGAGAAAACCCCATGTTTTCCATTTCTGTCATCTTGTTGTTGTACACTGCTGCTTGCGTAGGAATTTTCAATAATCGACGCTCAGTTGACTCTAGTCGTTTCAATGCCTGGATTTTGTTGTCTGGTAAGTCTTGGGGGGTTTTCTTCCATGAATATGGAATCATCCACTGCTTTCCAACCTTTTTTGCAGACTGTTCAATCACTTGCTTTTCTTCTCTTTCGGATTGGCTCAATTTTTCAGTTTCACAGGTGCACGGCTTTACTGTTACTCCCATGGCTTCGGTTGCCCAAAATTCTGATAAATCAACTGCTTCTGCTTCTGGGTACCTCACGTGTAATACAGTTGTTGTTGCATTGTTTGACTGTCCTGTTGATGATCCGAACAGAACCCATCCGAGTGGCGATTCTCTCGCGACCACATGTTCGACTTGCTTTGTTTGACCCGTGTGCATGTATGCACGATCGATTCCAACAAGTAAGTCGATTTGCCCCTTTCCACGCTTCACCTTATCCTTTGGTAGTCCGAGTTTTTCGATTGCATTCCTGGTATTGATTCCTTTGACATCCTCACTGATATATGGTATTCCAACTGCAGTGATTGTGTACTTCTTTGACTCTCCGATTCTGCTTACTTGAACTTTGTAGCTCTTTGTGCAGATTGACTCTTCCTCTCCACCTTTTTTTATGATGTTAACGGAGATGTCTTTCCCTTTCAGACCGAGACTCGCCGCCGTTTCGCTGCGGATTAGACTTATCTGAGCTCCAGAATTCAGAAGAACGTTGCCCCGCTTGTTGAGACCATTTGATCCGCAAATGTTGGCAGAAATCACTGGTAAGATCGAGTCGTTTAGACCAGTTACTGATGCAACGGTTGCACCTGACTTGTGCACCAGCGGATAGTGACTGGATGTGCACTGAACTCCATTTTCATACTTGGTGCATTGCTTTCACCTGCAGCAATTTGCTTGATGGTGATCCCGACCGCTTTCTTCAAGCAGCTGAAACACACGTGATTATCTTTCGCAACTTTTATTCGCTCATCAACAGACATCGCTGCCAATTTTTGACACTGGTCCGGCCAATGATTTGAGTTCTTGCAGAGCCAACATTTGAATCGGTTTTTACTTTCTTCCGTGACTGTACCATTGACATGATTGACTTTGCGTCGAGTGAAAGAGGTACCACTCCTCACTGGGGCTGTTGCACGCACGCGCAACTTCATCTCAATTGTCATCCAATTCATCAACGCTTTAAGGGTTGCGAGCTTTTGCTCTTTCTCTAAGTTACTCGACCACACTTTTCGATCATCTGTACACATCTTTTGTTCAATTATGGATAGCATGTGGCTGTTATCCATGTCACCCGGAACGCCTACCTCTTTCAACGTGTTTAAACAACGCCTAATCAAATGAACTAAATCTTTAAATCTTAAAATCTAGGGCTTTAAATTTAACGATGTCCTGCGTTATGGTGTCTGATACGTACCGAGGGTCCCTGTAAATTGAATCTAAGTATTCCCACGCTGCATCATAATCAGAACCAATACCTTTTGTTAATTCAAGTGGTTTCTCTTTCAAACAAGTTCGCAGTAGTGTTATTGAATCTCGTTTTCTATATCTCGATTCAATTGCATGCTTGAAATCCGCACGAAATATTGCATATTCACGTACCTCGCCCGAAAATTTCGGTAGCTTTGGTTTTTCCATTTGAAACCCGCAGGGACTTCGTGTATTTTCAGATTCATTTTTTACTTCAGATTGGGACGTAATTTGATTCGGAAAATTTTCCTCATTTGTTGGGCTTACTTCGGTGGGAGTGTTGACAGATTCCTCGGAAATTACCGCAGGGGAACTTTCCGCTACATTGCTAATTTCATCACCTACGCTGGTCTGGTTTTCCTCAATAACTGTGGGGCTCATATTACTTGCGCTGTCAACAATTTGCATTCCGATCATTCCAGACGAATTTTGCTCGTTTTGACTGATGTTAGTCTCTGAAATTTTCACTGAAACCAATTGTTCGATATAATATTTTGCCTCAATATCAAGTTTTAAAAATTCGTTTTGGCACTAATCTAACCAATGCTCTTCTGCTTCAAAAGCTTCATCGCTCATAATCAAATTTGCATAAAGCTCATGTTTCTCTACAACGTTGTCGAACGCTTGTTTTACTTTAACGAGATAGTCGCTTACCTTGTTTGCTGGTCTTTTATTTATACACAGATGATTCAAGGCTTTTCCCAGTCTTGTCAATGTAGACTTGGCTGCTCGGCGTTTGAGCTTATCAGTCTTCAGTGCCTCGTCTTTGTCACTTATGGTTCAGGTTCTCCACGCGATTAATTTTTCTTCAGAAATCGAATGTTGTGGATTCTCAGGTTAGCAGTCCGATAGATAAGTGAGTTGGAATCGTATAGATTATATGTAAATAATTTTTATTCGATCTAGTAATAAGGATAGAGTATGTTTGTAAATAACGATCGTCCAGGTTGGTATAGTCCTGAGAAGGACTGTTTTTGTTGTTGTTGACTGACGTTTCGACAACCTTAGCGGTAGTCATCTTCAGAGTCAAATGAGGAGTAAGCGTCAGGTTGGCCGTATTTGTTATCTGGTTCTTACGTCATTGTATTGTGTACACAGGAAATCTGTATTGTCATTGTGAATTAGTGTGAAGTGAAATGTTTTTAGTTGTGATGTGTGATTTAGGTGTGATGTTTTTGGTTGTAATGTGTGGGTGTCAATTGTGTATTGTCATTGTAAATTAGTGTGAAGTGTAATGTTTTTAGTTGATCGTTTGTTTGTATTGTGAATAAGTCGTTTGTAAGCAGCTGGTCAATGCTGTGATCTGTTCAGGGGGTTTGTTCCAAGTTGGTATACTCACTTTCTAATGTAAGCCGTTGTCTATAGTCAGTGCTGTAAGTAATGCATTTTGCCGAGTCCCAGTGAATGTTGTGCTTTGTCAGTCGGTGATGTTAGGCAATGTGCTTAGTTTTGTCTTGTTTCAGTAGCTCGTTTGTGTTCAGTAAGTCTTGTGTTTAAGTTCCTGCCAGTTTCCTCGATATAGGAGGCGTGGCAGTCGAGCAGTTTATTTTGTAAATTGCACCTTGTCGTTCGTTGGGTTGTTCTTTGTCCTTTATGTTCGTTAGTACTTGTCGCAAAGTTGTGATTGGTTTATATGTGCGACACGTATGTTGTATGGTCGTAAGATACGCGTGATAGTCTCAGACGTACCTTTGATGTAAGGTATCGTTGCTGTTGTCACTGAGTTGTTCGTTTCGTTGGGTTCGTTGGGTTTGTAAGTGTTGCGTTTGATAAAGTCATAGTTATAGTTGTTTTTGATAAAATAATCCGAAGCTTTTGTTTATAGAGACAAGGTTTATTCAACAGTATTAACTTCACATAAACCAGGCACATGTAGAAAACGCCATATAACAAGCAAAAAGGGGAAGTTATCAAGTTACAGATTACGGAACACGTGATTACATTATGACGTAGCAATTATATTCTAACATTTCCACTTAATAGTTACATATTGTTGCAGTGTTCTTTAACAAGATTGAACGTTCAATAAATTTCTGAGTTTTTGGAATTGATCTTTAGATAATCCCTTGGTCATTATATCGGCTATCATATCCTTTGATGGACAATAGCAAACTTTACTTCTTTAGATAATATTCGTTCGCGAAGAAAATGGTAAGCAACATCGATATGTTTAGTTCTGTTATGGAACTTTGATTTCGTGCGATTTCGATGGCACCTTGATTGCCTTCGTGAACAGTAGTGGGCGACATTGGTTTAGATCCCAAGTCAGACAACAATCGTCGTAACCAGATTACCTCTTGGGTAGCTTGGCTTAGGGCAACGTTATCAGCTTCTGTTGTCGATCTGGCGACGGTACTTTGTTTCTTGCTAGACCAGCTAATCGTTAGTTAGCTAACTTAAAATATATCCTGAGGTTGAGCGACGATCATCCAAATTACCGGCGTAGTCAGCATCCGAGTACCCATGTAATTCATCATTTTTATCACAACTGAATTTCAAACCATAACTCATTGTCCCTTTTATGTATCTTAAAACTCGCTTCACTCCTTGAAAATGAGTTTTGCTGGGATCTGACATAAACTGTAACAGGACTCCGATAGATGCAGCTATATCTGGCCTCGTGGCCGTGGAAACATATGTCAAGCAACCAATCATCTGCTGGTAAACGCTCTGATTGTTCCTCACCATCGCATCTCTTTTGAAATTTCTTCCCAGTTTCAATTGGGGTGTGGACTGGATTGCTGTTTTCATTCCAAACCGATTAAAGGTACTTTCCAAGTATTTTTCTGATTTATGAATATTTCCTTTGTCGTTCCATCCCTTCTAATTGACATCCCGAGAACAAAGTGAATTTCTCCTTGATCCACCATTTCGAATCCTTTGCAAAGCCTTTTCTTCTCAGCATTCAGCATTTCGATGTCGTTAGAAACTGGGATTATGTCATCAACGTAGATTGCCAGTATCACAAAACTAATGTGACCATGTTCCTTTCGTTCAGTCTTCGTGTATATGCAGCTGTCTGCACCATTCTTTCTGTATCCGTTTGAAACCAGGAAACTATCGAGGGTTTGGTTCCAACAACGTGCGGACTGCTTTAAGCCATACAAACTTCTCTTGAGTTTACAGACATAATTGGGGTGTTCTTCGTCAGCAAAGCCTTCGGGTTGAGTCATGTAAATGTCATGATCAATTACTCCGTTTAAGAAAGCGGTCTTTACGTCCATTTGGTGTATCTCTAAATCATGCAAATTTGTCTTTACCTGACGCATAAAATTTTCTTCGTAGGTATCTCCCACTGAAGGTATATTCTCTACTGGATCTTGTGTACCAGGATTTTCTGGATTGGCTTCAGGCTCTTCATCTTCTCTTGTTTTGCAGATGAAGAAATGGGTGCTACCAGAGCAGCTTGTTTTCTTGGAAAGAATGAAACTTATTTTCATGGAAGAGGACATCTCTGCTTCTGATGAATCGCTCTGCCTCTAATACATACAACTTGTATCCCTTAGTATTCTGACGATATCCAACAAATATTGCTTTCTTAGCTTTGGGTTCGAGTTTGGTTTGTAGACTATCTGGGGTATGTGCGAAACACACGCATCCGAATACTTTTAAATTTGAAACGTCTGGTTTCTTTCCGAACCATCTTTCAAATGGCGTTTCATTCTTCAGGGTACTTGTTGCACTACGATTATGTAAATAAACAGCGGTATTTATTGCTTCGGCCCAAAAATGGATTGGTAATTTGGCATGGTAGAGCATTGAGCGAGAACTTTCTAGTACTGTTCTGTTTAATCTCTCAGATACGGCGTTCTGCTCTGGGGTGTGGGGATTGGTAAGCTGGTGTTTGATTCCTTTCTCCACACAAACTTGGCGAAATGATTCCGAGGTGTACTCTCCTCCATTGTCAGTTCTAATTGACCCCACTTTATGGCCTGATTCATTCTCAACCATGGACACGTATTCTTTGAACTTGCACGTTACTTCCGCCTTTCGTTTAATGAAATATACTGTGACGAATTTGGTGTAGTCGTCTGTAAACGTTAGTACATACTTGCTTCCACCCATGGATGCGACATTCATTGGACCACAAAGATCACTGTGAATTAATTGAAGTGGTTGGCTTGTCTTGTTGATGCTTTTCTTCGGAAAAGGTAGCCGATGCATCTTCCCCTGAGCACAAGCTTCACACTTTTTGTTAAATTCATTACTTGAACATTTCAAACCTTCAACTAGCTTCCCTTTAATCATCTGATTTAAGCAGGAGTAGTTCATATGACCATACCTACAATGCCATTTCTCCAATGAAGGCATATCAGTACCAGCTACTTGGGCATATTCATGTATTCATCATATACAGCTTTTCTTCAATGATATGTCCAATGGTAATACTTCTGCCATCTTTCGAAACAACGCATCTTCCTTTATCACTTTATCAAACAATACTTCGGCTCCAAGTCTAGTCATGGCAGGTACAGATAAGTTCTTCGAGATTTCAGGCACATACAGCACATTGCTTAGTGTAAGAGTAATAACATTAGATCCATCATAACAGGGAATTTTGACCTTTCCTTCACCATGTGCATCAATTGTACTATTTTCACCAAGGTATATCTTAGATGGCATCCCATACTCACTATAGTCGAGGAGTTGATCGACTTTAAGGCCTGTTTTATACGTCGAATTTCCGTCGAATTTAATCTGTCGAATTTAATGAGACAATTTTGCGACGGAGATTCGACGGAAATGAGTTTCTCGATTTATGTGTCGAATTTGCATCGGATTCAAATCATTAAATGCGACTCTATAGCCTGCTAACAGGTTGTTTCTTAGGCAAAATTAAACATGGTGGCTGTGGCAAAAGCTATTATTTTAAAGAAAATAATACGAATACGAAGAGAAAGACGACAAAGGCGTCTTCATAATGTTGGCTTTGATTAATAGAAGAAGAAAGATTTGTCAGTTGTGCTTGTTACTGCTAAATCTTATTTCTGAGGAGAATGAAATACCTAGAATTCGTTCTTGTCAACCGGTCTCACCAGCATGTCGATTGGCTATATGTCTTTATAGATTAGCACGTGGCGACTATTATTACACTCTTTCTGAAATGTCTGGCCTTGGAATAGCAACAATACAGCAGATTGTCAAAGAAGTGTGCGAAAGCATTGTAATTCACTTATGGAAGGATGCTGTTAGTGCGCATTTTCCCTCGTCAGAAGGACATATGAAGGAAAAAATAATTGATATGGAAGAACTCTGGCAATTTCCATGTTGTTGGTCTGCAGTTGATGGGTGTCATATCTCGATTAAATGTCCTAATGGATGTGCAGAGGCAGCCAAAGAATATCACAATTTCAAAAATTTTTATTCAATTGTTTTAATGGGTTTGATTGATGCCAAGTATAGGTTTGTGTGGGTAAGTGCTGGATTTCCTGGCAATACCCATGATGCCATGATCTTACAGGCAACCCAGCTTTGGAAAGATATTATGGACAACAATCTTCTTCCTGCTATTTCAAAGAAGATTGAGGGCATTGAAGTTGGTCCTCTTATTGTTGGTGATTCTGCTTTCCCGTGTACAACCTGGATTATGAAACCCTACACGTTCTCAACACTCCAACCTCAAGAAAAAAACTTCAATTATCGTTTATCTCGAGCTAGAATGGTGACTGAATGTGCCTATGGCCAGCTTAAGGGAAGATTTAGGATTCTGTTCAGGAATGTGAATGTAATGAACAAACAATGAAAGCAGTCACATTGGCTTGTGTTATTCTTCACAATATTTGCATCGAACATGATGAACCTTTTCCTCAACAGCCTGACATAGCTGCTGATCCAGCCACTTTGGAACGACGAGATCGGCAAGTTGTGAGAGATATGCTTGACATGCGAAAATGTGAAAAAGTCAAAGACACATCCATTAATGCAGGGAAAATACGAGCTGCATTAAAAGAAAAGTTATGGAGAGAAAAACTGCAATATGGTGTGTGTTGATTGTTCACTTTGGTATGTTTATAACAAACAAGCCAAATCTTGTCAACAATAAGACGCTTGAAAAACTGCGAGCTCTATCACTCTATGCATTGTTTTATGTTATTATAAGATTCATGTTTTGCACTGTAATTAACAAAAATTTTTAAAATATGACACATTGATAACAAATAGTTATAGTTTTATACCATAATGTTTAATAGTTTTTATTGTATATGTTTGTTAAACAGATAAAAAGCAACAAAATTACATTTTAGTGTATTTGTTCATTTGAGAATCAAAGGGTGAACTAGCTCCAGGCATTGGATAGTTGATTACATGGTGATCACTGGGAGGTGTTTGTGGGACCATTGAATGCACCCAATGCTGTGCTGGTGGATAGCAGGGTTGAAGTTGTGGTGCATGTCCTTGTGCAGGTGGTGCTTGATTGGATAAAAGTTTAATAACTTCTAGTTCAGATTGTCTAGATCTTTCTGCATCTTCTCTCATGAAATTCAAAAGATCTTTAGTTGGATCATTTGCCACCATGTTCTCCAAAATTTTAACACCTTTGCAAGCGGCTCTTCCTTGTTTTTTCTTTCGTTTTTAATTGGGACAAACATATCCCTTCCTTTTCTTAGAGCAGGCTCTTTTGTTTTTTCTTCAATGTCCTCCTCCTCCTCATCACTTTCATCTTCATTAACAGGCGTACTACATGTACTTGAACTTGTGTATGTGGAAGGCTCAATGCTTTGCTCTGGTTGACAGGAATCCCTACTTTTCATAGACCTTTTCAAGGTTATCGTAGCCATATTGCAGGGGGTGCAAAAACATTGGGCCGAGCGCGCGGTCACGCATGGAGTCCATATAAATTACTAATAAATGCGCAAAATTACCCTTTTACATATTGGCCATTTCTTCCAAAATATTTCTCAAACTCGTCCATTTTAATAGTAGCATTATTATTTGCGATTTTTATACATGTGAGTCAAATTTTGTGGTAATCAAAAAGCGGAAAGTTAAAGAAAACATTTGTTTTCTTTGAACAACTTGACCGTCGTTTGAGCGATGTTCTTGAGTTTGCAACACACGCACATGTCTACAGCAAAGTCAGCAAGTATCACGAGGAACTATTCTACGGCGAACTCTTATTCTTAGTTTGATTTCTACTAGGCCATATAATGAGAACTGAGAGTTCCTTGGACATCAGTTTAATCCAAGTTATAAACGTGCTACTAACAGTAGCAGATGATATTTGAAACCTGAAAGCCAGATCATCAACAAGTAATGCCAAACGCAACTTCATCAAACACACATAAGGAGCTCCTGCTGTGGTGATAGTTTGCGAGCTGGACCAGACCTATAACCTCTACCAGCAAACAGTTGAAATGGTGTTTTTGGAGTCGCGGTTGTTTCATTTTGTGTCTGTGTGGGTCCACGCCAGTATTGCATATTACTAGCTTTTGGCAGCAAGTATTCAAATACACACTTAAAACTGTTAGTCGATGGCAGGCCGGTGTGAAACCTTACATCATACTCTCTCGTCAACTGTTCAAATTCTAAAGGGACAGGGAGTAAAGATGCCTCAGATTTTGCTGGATTTCTATCAAAACTTGAATGAGAATCCTCGGTTTTATAGGCTTGATGAGGACGCTTTGATGTCGTCCATGTTTCTCTTCCTTTACGTTTAAGCGGAGTCCTCGATTGCTCGTACTCTGATAGCGTAATAAAAACCGAAGGATAATCCGTTTCGCGGTTATTTGGGGTTCTTCTTCCCAAGGGAAAATGATTTGAGCAAACGAAAGTACCTTGTGCACCAGGCTTTGGGTTAAAGTTATCGGCTCAGCTGTTTGCAATTTGTTTTCGCCAAATTTCAGCAGGTGCTTGATCTTTGGGCCACTTATGAAAAACTAACTTTTCTACGTGAGACCTCTTAACTTGATAATCAGGCTAGCGTTTATCATTATCGCAATATCCAACTGCACAACGCGCATTTTTTACCATTTCGGCTATGACTGCTCATGGCTACTAGGCTAGTTTAGGGTTTAGTTCGTTTGACTTGGCTTATGAGTTCCGCACATTTGCGAACTCAAGAACATCGCTCAAACGATGGTCAAGTTGTTCAAAGAAAACAAATGTTTTCTTTAACTTTCCGCTTTTTGATTACCACAAAATTGAACTCACATGTATAAAAAATCGCAAATAATAATGCTACTATTAAAATGGACGAGTTTGAGAAATATTTTTGGAAGAAATGGCCAATATGTAAAAGGTAATTTTTGCGCATTTATTAATAATTTATATGGCTCATTGCGTGACCGCGCGTTCGGCCCAATGTTTTTGCACCCCCTGCAATATGGCTACGATAACCTTGAAAAGGTCTATTAAGGGAAACAAGGCATTGAACCACTTTCCAAATCCTTTTTCATCAACAAAACGATTGATGCCGGTAGCAGTTTGGATTGTAAGTGCAACTTTTTTACATGTGCCGACACACCATTTAAACTTGTTGCGAATTTGCTCCAATTTGAAAGGGAATTCTGGATGCCTTGCTTTCACCTGCGCCAATACCTGTTGGTAAACTTCGGTATTCGTTGATCGCCTATTATTCGTAAATATAAGCTTTCGCTTGTAATTTTCGTTGTTGACAATAATATCGACCATATCGTCAACATGTTCTTGAGACCATAATGATCGCCTACCCGACGATTTCTTCGTCACTTCACCGTCTTCAGCAAGAAAGTGTGCGACGTCGTCGTCTTTGTCACCCTCGGCCTCGATGGACTGCACATTGAAAAAGCAATTGTTGCAGTATGCAACGCACACCATTTCTAGCCAGCCTTCTACTTCTTCGTTCTTTTCTTCCACTGAGCACGATGGACGATTACAAACAGATATTTTGCATCGAACACATTTGTATTTTGTTGCTGTTTCACATTCAACACATGTTTCATGCTTGCCCGCCATTTTGAAATTATGTGTTCGTGGAACACACGCAGCAGAAAACGCTGAATTGTGGGAATGGAAAATAATTATGAAAATTAATGCATTTTGTTCGACGCGTCTGAAGCTCAACGTCTAAACTGCTGTCGCGCTTCCTTTGCATTACGCGATGAAATTCGTCGCGTAACACGACAGCGTCGCATTTAATGCGACGCGTTGAAGATAATCGGTTTATACGTCGCATTTCCGTCGAATAAAATTCAACGCATTAAATTCGACAGATTAAATTCGACGGAAATTCGACGTATAAGGCCCGTTTTATACGTCGAATTTCAGTCGAATTTTCGTCGAATTTAATGCAGCCGATTATATGCGACGTAAATGCGACGTCTAAACTGATTGCATTCGACACGTTGAATTAAATTCGACGCTGTCAAATTATGCGACAGTGTCCGTCGAATAATTCGACAAAATTCGACAGAAATGAGATAGCAGTTTAAACGTCGAAGTTCCATCGCGTCGAATTTAATGCATAAATTATTAAAATTACATTTCTATCCCACAATTCAATATTTTTCGCCTCGTGTGTCCCACGATATACGCATATTCAAGATGGCGAGCGAGCAACCTTGTTTTTCATGTGAGAACATAACAAAATATACATGTATTTCTTGCGCTACTTTCGTTTGCAATCGATCGACTTGCTCAGCTGCTGAAATAGATGAAAGTGCACACGGTTGGGTTGAAGGTGTTAGTGGTTGGGTACTGCAATGATTGTGTTTCAGATTTGTCAAGCGTTGCAGGTACAATTGACTTTGAAAATAATGTCGAAGAAGCAACAGCTAAACGAAAAGAAAAAAGTAAAGCGTCTGGTCGAAGATCAATATGGACCTCTGCACATATTGATGACATGGTTGATATAATTGTAAACAATGAGACTTACAAAAAGAAACTAATCTTTGTGAACAATCGGCGTTCAACAAACACAGAAATTTATGACCACGTGCTAACTCTTATTAAAGAAAGGCATCCATCTTTTCCATTTAACATCGCGCAGATGAGAACAAAATTTAAATGGTGTGTTTCTGTTTGCAAAAAAGTGGCTCTTACTATACAAACAGCAACAGGTATAAAAAGATTCATTGAAGAGAAAGGTTATGGTAAATGGTTTGATGGACTATTTCCTTAATAAAAGCAGGGATTCTTGTCAGCCTGAACAAACAATTGAGCCATCTGCGAGTGTAAGTTCAAGCAGCACCAGCACCCTGTAAATTTCCCTGACAAGGACAACGATGACGAGGATGATGATGATGATGACGACAGACAAAGAGAGCAACCTCCACAAAAAAGAGAAAATGTGTTTGTCCCCATAAGAAATAGGAAAAAGAAACGTGAGTCAGATGTGGGAATCAAAGTTCTGAAATTGCTGGAGTCAATGATAGAAAATGATCCCACAAAAGAACTCATAGAATTTATGAAAGAAGATGCTGCAAAATCAAGGCAAAATGAGATGGAACTTATCAAAATTTTGTCAAATCAACATTCAAGAGAAGGTTATGCTCCTGTCATGCATCATCAAAATCATCAGCAAGGGTATTTCCAAGCAGCACAACTCCCACAGCACTGGCAACAGCCTGCAGTTCCGATGGTCTCTCAAACTCCTCCACCACAACAACATTGGCAACAACCTGCAGTTACCATGGTTCCTCAAACTCCTCCACCACAACAACATTGGCAACAACCTGCAGTTCCCTTAGTTCCTCAGACACCACCAAGTGGCCAAAAACTCCCACCATCAGGTTGGGCACAGTTCGTCGTTTGAACAAATAAAAAAAACCTACACAAAACTTTAAATGTATTTTTCATTGTATAAAAATCTTTATTAAATTTATTGTGTTTTTTCTACATACTACCATACATGCAATAACATAGATTTGAACAATTCATTGCCCACAGTGCCTCAAACACTGCCAAGTTTTGCTTTTCAGAAAATGAAACACGCACAAAACTGTAAAATTCTAATTTTTTTGAAGTAGTTTTAGTAACATTCTTACCATATTTGTAAATTTTGTGTAAAACAATTTACAATAAATTTTACTTATTGTAAATTGTCTTCTTTCCCTTCTTATTTTCAAAATTTGCCTCAACACGATAGCTCTTGTAACAGCCGCCATATTTAAAATATAAGTTAGGTCAGGCTACCCTAAATTTAACCCGATTTGCAGGCTTAGCAATTAAATTCGATGAACTAACTTCGACGTATAAACTGATGATAACGACGTATGCTGTTTCCGTCAAAGTTCCGTCGAAGTGTTTAAAAATTAAATTCGACGAATTAAATTCGACTGAAATTCGACGTATAAAACGGGCCTAAAACAGGCCCAAAAGTCATATGTTTTGTTGCTCCCTTGTCAATGAACCAGTTGGTGCCTTGGTCTTTACTACTAGCACTTGAGCAGGAATTAAGAGCAATGTTATCAAAATGTTGTTTCTTTCCATCTGTCTCTGCAATGCTTGAGTGATGACTTCTACGATTGAGAGGACAATTCTTCATCACATGGCCAACTTTTCTACATTTGAAACACGTCGGACCTTGACCTGATCCAGATTCGTGGTGCTGATTCTCTTTGAACTTGCCAACAATGCGATCACCTAGACCACGTCGATTTCTTCCACGGGACGACCAATTATCTCTTTTAGAAAATAGTGCTTTATTTTCATTTCTGTCACCTGAATTTTCACATTTCCGCTGTCTTTCTTTCTCTTCACGCTTCTTGTATTCTTCGATGAGTAAACCCTTCACATTGTCCCAATTTAGTTCATCCGGTTTGGTAGCGTTGAGGCTAGAAGTAAAACTGTCGTATGAATCTGGCAAACTTCCAAGTACTACGGTTGCAAATTTCTGTGGCGTTATTTCTTCTCTTAACTGTCGCAATTGTTCTGCCAAAGACGTCATGTACGTTAGATGTGTCATTATATCAGGGCCTTCTTTCATAGTAGCGGCGTAGAATCGACGATTAAGTCGAACGATTTGTGTTATCGAAAGGCATTCAAACTGTTTTTGTAGGAATTCCCAAGCCGCGTGAGGATCTATTGTCGACGAAATATGGACTTGTAGATCTTTCTGCACGCTGAGCGCGATTAACGAATATGCTTTGTCGGAACGCAGACGATATGAATTTCTTACAGTTGTTGTCGCCGTGTCATCCGGGGCAACCTCTGTTCCTTCAACAAATCCCCATAGACCACGCTCCATCAACACAAGCTTTATATTACACTTCCACGACTGGTAATTTCTGCCATCGAGGTGCTCTATTTTTGTAATCTCGGCCATCTTAAACATACGGCTGACTCGCGCTTTTACTTCACAATTTATCCCTTATCGTGTCAATAATACACATACAAATTAGTAAAGCTTCAACGACCGTTCTGGTTCTGGGCCCATAACCTGATAAAATAATCCGAAGCTTTGGTTTATAAAGATAAGGTTTATTCAACAGTATTAACCGCATAACTAATATATAACAAGCAAAAAGGGGAAGTTATCAAGTTACAGATTACGAAACACGTGATTACATTATGATGTAACTATTATGTTCTAACAGTTTTTGTCAAAAACACGTTTGAGATAGTTGTTTTCGTTTTAATTAGTCCTGTCTTATACTTTTGTGAGGTGAAGCTAAAGAAGTTAAGTAATAGGCCAGTGTAAGTTTTTTTATGAGAAGTACATGTCGTGTATGTGTTCGTGACTGTGTTTTTAGTAATGAGTATGTCTAAAAAAGGTAACTTGTTGTCGTGTTCTTTTTCTATGGTAAAGTCAATGTTCTTGTGTTGTAAATTTAAATAATTAAAAAAAGAGAGAGCGTCATCCTCTTTGTTAAAAATACAAAATATGTCATCTACGTACCGTCTGTAAAACAATACTTTAGGTCCGCCATAGTTCTTGATCTAATTCTTTTCATGATATCCCATGAAAAGATTGGCAAGAAGTGGTGCTAATGGTGAGCCCATCGCGACTTCGTCGATTTGGTCAAGAAATTGTCTGTTAAATAGGAAAAGAGTTTGTGAGGTGGCAATGAAAAAAAGATGTTTTAAATCTTGTTTTTAATGATAAGGTTGGGCTGGTGTGAATAAACAAGATCAAATGAAATGTATATTATTTCCGATAAGGGAATGTTAGTGAAAAGACTTTGGACGACAGAAGAAACGAAGTAGTTGCTGTTGTGGTTTTGGGTGTGTAGTTCGTTAACAAAAGTAAAAGAATCTGATGTAGTGTAGTCGTTGGGTATGACGGGGTTAAGTAGAGTGCATAAGTACTTGGAGAGATTAAAGTTATATGAGTTGATGGAAGAGACTATAGGTCGAATGGGAGGGGCGTTATAGTTTTTTCTATGTTTATGAAGATTGGGGAGACCATAAAAGCAGGGGCTTATCTAGAGTATGTCAAATCCGTCGCGCGACTGATGTTTGAAATTCAAAAATTACCTATTCATATTAATTAAAAATTCATTAATTATTCTTATTTTCTTATCGCATTTACTTCGTGATAAAAATCCCGCATTATTTATTATTGAAAACTAATGACTAATCCAATGAATATCTCGTTGGTAACCAGATCAGTTGAATTTTAATTGACCTGGAATAACCGACTGATAAGCGGGTGGCTTGACTGGTTCGACGGATAAAGGAGTCTATGAACGTCAAAACGCTTATTTTATTGGTCAATAGCCAGATCAGTGGACACTCTGGAATGGTCTCGACTGATAATAAGGGTGGCCGGACGTATAAGGAGTCCAATTGCTATCTTACAATTGGTTCATTTGAATTTTGCTTTATTGTGATTGGTTTGACGGATTTCGACTGATAGCCAACTGAACTAACATAGTCAAGCTCACTGTCTGAATTGAATGTTTGATCGTTTTATAGTAATTTTATAAGCATGATAGAAACTAAACTACAATCAGATGGAATTTATGGAAATCTTTACAAATTCATATATTGACATGAATGCTGCTGTCCAAAATGTGAATTTTTTCAAGAGGGTGGAAATTTATGGATAAATTTTAAATGCTTGGCAAAGACGATCTCGCGAGCGACATTTCAGTCATTGATGTTCAAAAGAAAGCCAACATTGTTTTGAGTTTTATCAGCAGAAATTTACATCCAAAATAGTAAGTAAAGGACAAGTGAAGTGTATGCATGAATGTAATATATCAAAGTCAATTATGCGAGTGTGTGATGCGATTTATGTCAATATGGCGTATGGTAAGCAGATTGATGCTTCTAAAATTGTTGTTGCCAAAGGACTTTTAGCTATGATTTCTTTAGTGCTTGGGAATCGTGGCCGTTATACGGCAGCGAAATCCTACATTCCTGCAAATATATTTCAATGGACAAAAATCTGTAGCCATAAGGCGCCATACTATTATTTACTTTATCATAAACAAATGTTTGGGGTTTTCAGTTTATGATCATTGATCATTCAATCATTGGACAGTTATACTACATATTGTTTAAGATTTGAGAAAACTAACATTGATTACATGAGAAGCTGTTTACTATAACCTGTGATTTTGAGTCTTCTGATCCATGAAGCTTTTATTTTGACAATTTGACTGGAATGGTATTAAACCTGAGTATTTCACATACATGGAATGTTGTCCCATGTCACATATTGTCCCCTTTTCTAACTGAACACCTCATGTAGAGATGTAAAGGTCTGTCAATCTACGGCTCATACCAGATTGTTTACCATAAATTCCAAAGGGCTATTGATGTATGAAAAGCATTTTCTATAAAGTAAAAATGCCTTTCTATGTATGCAGATAAACCTTGAAATTTGGCAAAACAGCAAAATATTTTTCATGATCACTAGGTAAATTTTCTGATGATCATTATAATTTCTAAACTAAATTATTTCTGATTTACATTTAAACAAGCTTTGATCATATGAAAGGATATTTATCATAACCAGTAAGCATGACACATGAACCAATTTTAACATTCATGTAATTATATAATTAAAGACATGTTGGTTACATTCTGTTTGTATTTGCAAATACAATGCTACTAGTGATTGCTATATAGCACACCTTGCATATACTTACAGGAGATAATAGTCTAGTGAAATGCCTAATAAACATTTATGGCATTAAGCTGTCCTTAACTGCAAATTTTCACTCTGATAATTTTTCCTTAACCTTTGGCAGAAAAAAATTTTGAGTTTTTTCTCAAAAGGTGAATTTGCTGGCACTGATGTGGAGATGGGTAAAGGGTTACAATAAACTTGCATGGTTTGAAGTCTGAGCTTTTCTATATCTATGAACTGTCACTTGTAGTACCAAATTTCTAACTTAACTAAATTCATTACATAGAGGTTTGAATGGGGTCTCTAGGGGGTCTATGCCTGACAACTTGGTAGAAATTTTTAAAGACTATATCTGTTTTTAAATGGGATTATTGTAAAATAAATTTTACGTTCCTAGACATGCTAATGAGCCATATATTTGGCATGATAATGAGCCTAAATATTTGGCAAAACATTCAAGTATTGTTCACTTCATTATTTTTTTTGAAGAAAACGTAAGCAAAATGTTTTGTTTTTACGCAAAAACGATGCCCACAAATACATTTTGTATTGCTCTAAAACGCTGAAAATGGCATTTTCAAGGCTCTGAAATTCAAAATTTCTCAGGGGAGAATGCCTCAGACCCCCCCAGGTGCGTAGCGCCTTCGACGTTTTATGACTGATGTTTGAAAAATCCTAGATCCACCCCTGCATAAAAGCAAGCTGGTTGTGAGCCTCTAGGGAAAACTGAAGAGTATATATGGTTGTCTATAGAGCCCTGTTTTTTGAGATTTCTGAGAAAGCGTTGCAGTCTGCCTCTCTGAGTATAGCAGGCTCACTATCTAATGGTTCAAATTTAGATTTGTTGTAAATTATATTTAAGCATGCATTATTATATACCTTTCTGTCCATAATAACTACTCCATTTCCTTTGTCGGGCTTAAGTAGAATGATGTTCTTGTTGTTTTTAATGTTCTTTAAGATGCGGTATTTTTTGAGATCAGATGGTGAAGGACGGTTTGACGAGGTGTAACTTTGTGCGATGCGTATGAGTTCGTTTTTGATATGATAATAATCGTCATAGTTTTTCAGCTTGTTGGTTATGGTGTAGTGGATTCGTTCGAATGTGGAGAGGATGTCGGCGTGGTTAAGTTTTGGTGGTTTAATGGAGTTATAGAGTCCAGTAAATCAGTTCATAAGTAAGAAATGAATGAACGAAATGAGGATTAAGGCGTGGTCACGTGTATTACATGGGATTGTTCACATGAGCCCGGTAATCGGGATTCAGCGATGCGTGAAATGATTTTGAGAAGAGTAAAAACTTTAAGCGCAAAACTTACAACCTTTTCTTACAAGCGTCATAAGTAATTTAAGTCGTAATTTTCAAATCAGGCTAAATTATTTGTTTTCATTTTAAAGGTTTTGTGAATTTTCCAAGTCAGGGCATAGAGTAAATGCTCAAATACTTTTTTGTTGTGAAGTATTTAATCTTTCCCTTTGCCTAAATGATTTAACGCTTCGCTGAATCCCCGCTACCGGGCTCATGTGAACAGCCCCTAAACCTTATATGATACACATGACGTGTCATGCTCTAAGAGTCTTAGAACATGACCAAAGTCACGAGGGTGGCAATTTTCAACTCTGTGTGCAAAAAAGTCAAACTGCTTCCAAAGTTATAATAATGTGAGCCTAACTATAAGGCTGGAGACATTATTCATGTTTCATAAACATTTGGACTAATCATGTTAAGGAAATGTTTAATAACAATGTGCAAAGCAGAGAAGTTCAACACCAACTGGGGATATTTTCAAATCATTCTGGAAAGTGACATGGGCATCAATGATTTACCAGCTGGTCATCAAAGCTATTTGGTTAGATGATGAAAAAAGGCAGTTTATATTCTGAGTGAGACAATTTCAATGAAATTTCAAAAACCTTCTCTAGTTGACATTTTAAGTCGAAAATAAATACAGTGACGAAGAGAGAAATGTGGGCTGGCACCACTAACAAACAGGAGATAAAGACTCTACTTGTTTTATTAACGTAAGGAAACCTGTATGTTGTACAATATTTTAAGTTTTATGTGTGTAACATTTACTTTATTAGATTTTGCTCGTAAGTTTTACATTGGCTTTCAACATTGTGGGCAACATTATACTTGCCAACATCATCACAAGATTTTAGAATTGTGTTAAATTTTATCTCCTTCATAGGCGTAGCTACGGAGAGATGGTGAAGGCAGCAAAAATCCCCTGACTGAGATGTTGTTCGTTGGAAATTTGTGAACGTTTTGTAATTTTTGAAGTGAAACGGCAAAGTAATTGATCATTTACTTAATATTTTTTTCATGAAATATTTTACAATATTTTTTAAGAGCAAGCGAGTGCTCTACTAATTACTCACAGATCTTCATGTGTTCATTTTGTTCTCCGTGTGCTCTTTTTCGCTCTCAAGTGCTCTTTTCCTAGGTGCATTTATAACTAATTTGAAAACACACTTGAATGACATAACAGCCGGTCGTCTGAAATCGTTTTACTGCATTTATCCAGCAATATTATGGATAAACGTATTGTTAATCCAGAGGAATTAAGTTTGAAACAACTGGAAACATTGTGCCATTCTACCACAATAATTCAAATAATAATTCAGATTCTCTGTTTTATGTAGTAAAAGGTTGCCTTAATAGACTGAATATCTTGAACAGTAAAGTTTTATGAAAATTGAAATAATCCGTACAGACTAATTTAGTATTTTTAGCAAGTGGAAGAATTAAAAATTCATCGGAAAATGAGGAAGGTGTCAGTCAAATCATGAAGTAAATTGCCGGTAATAATAAATGATCAACTGAGTTATAAAAAATAATTTCGACTAAGGTAGGTCACAGAACAAGAAAGCGTATTGTAAAATCTTTTGCTAGACTGTATTTTGTCATTTGTGAAGTATCCGAAACAATGTAAATAAAATATAATGGTGTATTCCAAAGAATGACAGATATATTTTAATTCTTTGAAAGCTACGTGCAAACGCTCTCAACATGTTGACTCAACATGCACTCAACATTGTCCTGCTCTTGTTGTGTGATGTTTACCGATGTGTTTAAACGCTCTCAACGTGTTGAGCGATGTTGAGCCTATGAGATAAAACATTCCACTATGCTTAGCAACGGCGGGAACTATAAATACATACACAGTTCAGTGACGCCATTTTTACAATAATATACGCCGCACTGTGCGCATACGTTAGCTCAATGTAGTCGAGTGAGCTGTGCAAACGAACTAAACATTGTGTAGACAAGCATCGATGAGGGCGGATCATAGAAAATGTTGAGCGCTGTTGAGTGAATGTTTGAAAAAGTTCCAACTTTTATCAACAACGCTCAACACTGCTCAACACCACTCAACAGGGTGTGCAAACGCAACTTAACATGTTGAGTCTACAATGTAAAGTGAACATGTTGAGCGCGTTTGGACGTAGCTTAATGTGTATTTTTCCATGATTGCACGAGAAACTATTTTTAATCTACACCAAAAAAGCTTTCACTTCAAATTTCAATTTCTCGATGATACGTGGATATCATTTGACGACGTAGCTGCTTTAGGTAGTGGCCTAGCCAGACCTTAAGTTTTGGTCCTGCTTTGTAAATTTTAGAACATTAACATAATTCATTTCGTAATAAAGTAAATGGTTTGAACCCGGGAGTATAGTTACATGTTTGTAGATGTAGATCGTCCAGGTTAGTATAGTCCTCAAAAGGACTGTTTTTGTTGTTGTCGAAACGTCAGTCAACAACAACAAAAACAGTGCTTCTCAGGACTATACTAACCTGGACGATCTATATCTACAAACACATAATACATTTATTTAAAAATCTATTGTTTTTACAGTGAGTGGAGACAGAAAAATTAACATAGCAGGACCAAATTTGCAGGCTGGCTACGCCACTTGCTTTAGGCTAACTCCAAGTAAAGCCAGTTGCTTTAATTTTATTCTTCAGGCGGTGGGATGCTGAAGTTCCTAATCCCTTGTGAGGCAGGTCGTGTCTATGATGTGGATGAGTAATCTTGCGGCTTGGGAACGACTCTATTATGACAGCCACAGCAAGGAAAAAGACATATGCTGTCAACATGGCTATGCCCAACTTTTTATCCAGTCGCCATTTATTAAAATACAATATTAACAATGTCACAGCGACTGTTCCAAACAAAGTCATCGATACATATAATATGTTTCCCCCCTGGATCAACACTTGAGAATTCTGATGGACAGTGGTTGTTGAAAGCAACCATGGAATGCTAAGGCATAACATGTCGAATATGTTACTACCTATTGCATTTGCTAGTGCCATTTCCCCTATGCCCTGCTCTGCCATGACTAAACTTGCAATGGCATCTGGAATACTGCTGCCTGCAGCTAGTAACGTTAGTCCCATGATGCATTCTGGGATATTTATTGTCACGCCAATAACGCTCACCGCCCATACAAGCACGTAAGAGTGCATGCCCATCCACGTGATGGACATAATGAATGTCAGTATGTACCAACTCTCCCATGATGCTTTTCGGCAGTCTGGTATTGTGATGAAGTATAGCACACGAATTGGGAACATAATTGTCAAACGAAGTTTTCCCCATTTTCCTACTCCAGGTGGAAACGATAGTACGTCATTTGGCTCTTCGTCGTATTTCGTACGGGGAAGGGCCTCGGCAGTGTCAGAGAACACTGAGTGCACCTCGCTTATTTGATCTTCATATTCTTCCGTAACCATGAATGTTTCCTCTACTTTTGAAGTAGGTGTGCTTTGGTCATTGGCGCTCACCGGGGTTTCCGCGTTTTTGAAGATCATTGGCTTATTGGGTTTTTTTGGTTGAGAATGTTTGTCAGACAATGCTGTCCCTACCAGCAAATTTAACGCCGATTGATTTTCTGGTACATCAAAATCTCCTTGGCCTGAAGCTTTTAATCCTTTTATTGGTGAACTTGATGTCCTCTTAACTGGAGACCTCACAAGTGTCTTTTGTGGGGACTTAGGATATGACTTTACAGGAGATCGAGAAGGAGTAAGCGGTTGCGTTTGTGCAAAACGGGCTCTTGCCCAACGATTGAAACTATGTTCTAACGCTGTATTGAAATACATTATAACAACGTAGAAACCATACATAAGGGTCAAAACTAAAGCTTCATACCAGTATATCATTCCGTCGAACATGGCTAACAATAACACCAAAGATATATGACGTAACAAAAAGAATCCCGGATGACAGAGTATGGTTTTAAATTAACTGGAACTGTAGTCACCACACCACATATGCCAGTGATAAATAAGATGTTGAACATGGTCGACCCAATTATAGTACCAAGGCCAATGTCGCCCTCGTCCAAAACAACTGACGTCACCGATATGAACATTGTGGGCAGTGAACTTCCAGCTGCCATAAAAGTTGCCCCAGCCACATCAGGATGGATATTCAACCTATGATGATAAGGATATTTTATTAAGGGGACGATTGCATGGAGCAATTTCAGCTCTAGCTGAGTTTCAGCACGGGCCTGTTATAACATCCTATCGAAATAGCGTACGCGATTACATGATAACAATTCTGGTCCGGCTGAGTTTCAACCTGGCTTGAATTTCAGCCCGGTTTGAGCTACCTGGAATGAAATGTCAACCCAGGTTTAAAAACTTGTCATGTAATCATTTCAGCCCGGGCTGAAACCACAGCTGAAAATATTCACGCATGCGTGAAAATTAATGACAACTGGCGATCATGCCTCGGACGAGCTTCATAAGTTTCTGGCCAGTCTAAAGACCGGACTGAAAATGACCGTATAATGACCATTATTCATTCAAGTTTAATACGAGTTCCTTCTGATAATGTCTCCTTAATTGCATCTGGCGCAACAAAATGATTGCTCGTGGACTAAGTGCTTCAGAGGGCGCATGCATCGGGATATTTGTGTCTTTGGTATGGTTCATCATAGACATATCATGTTTCTTTCTTTCTTTCTTTGGGTAGACATCTTGCTTAAATTAATTCAATCGTCACTGGCAAGTTGAGGAGGGAAGAGTGGAGAACAAAAAAATAAGTAGACCTTTCATCTTTTAAACTGACTATATTGGTCACAAGCCTGGGACTCCGTGATACGCTTCGACAATTGGTGGAAGGTTACAGATATTTATTTATTTGATATGCTTATGACGTTGAGAAATGAAAAACATGATTTAGGTGTTTCACTAAAAACATTACTTGCAATAAATTTAGTCAACAATTATTAACCTGATATTTATGGATCGCGAGTGTGACATTATTAATTGAAAACACTAATTCAAACCTAACCAAAGCATCAATTTTGAAAAGCAAACCCTTTCTAAAATTTTAAAAGTCATTGTCCAATAGACAGCTGTATCCAGGCTGAATCTTAAAAACGGAGCGAAATTTGATGTCATAAACAATGATAAATTTGAAAAATGTCTTACTGACTTTTTCAATTAATGCTGTTATTGCAGTTGCGCAATATTTGATGTCTTAGATGACAGTTACTTAACGTTGAAAATTTAGTATGACTTTAGAGAAGCAATTTCACTTTGAAATTTCTCTTCTTTTGATATTTGTTGTAACCTTGTATTTTTATCAATCATGATATTGAACCTTAAATTCTTATACATTCTAGTCTGGAGTCTTCATCTGGTGTCATCTCATGATGAAACTTGTTTTTTATACTCCATTCCCGAGCCATTATCACAGAATCACAATATGTTTATCAGAAACATCTGATATCAAACCTTCAGTCGTTTGATACTTCGTCTATATTGCTTTAATTTATTGTGAGTGATCGTATATTACATGTTTGTGGATTTAAATTCAGGAGCGCACATTTCAAAAAAAATTTGGGGAGTGTCTCACTTTCTGGAAATGACTTTTGTAGTGTCTGTATATAACAAATGAGTGCAAGCAGGATTTCTGAAAGTGACGAGGAGCTACAAAGCATGCGCCTTACTTTTTAAATGATGAAAAACTTTTCTGACAGTATCAAAGAAAGAAATAATTAACATAACGATTTTGGTTGCGAAAGAATATTTCGCAAAACACAAGTAGTAACTCTAATTGCAAATTATACATAAAAAGATGTGCATTTCCCCCCTTTTTCTTCCCATAGTTTTGCCCAATCAATTTATAAGATGTGATCCCAATGATTTAGATCGCTCATTTATTATATGATCTAACACAAAGCTTGATAGCGTTCATATCAGTATCAACAATCCAGTTTAGTGTTTTTGACAGACTTGATTGGATGTGGAAACTTGAATTTCTATGTAGTGTCCGAAAGGCTGTAAATATAAATTTGCCTAGAAAAGTCAATTTGTAACAATTTAGCAATTTACCTTTTACAAATCTTGTTCAAGGATGCACAGAAGTAATCATCGCATAAAATGGAAAGCGCAGCGAACGTAAAAAAGCAGATGAGGAAATGAATGATGACAGCACCTTTCCGTCGTTCTTCTAACGTGAAAATAATTTCATAATGCAGAAGTTCAAAGACCTGACTGGAGATATTTGTATAAATAATGGTTGGTTTGTCGTACGAATTCTCCATCATTTCAAGTTTTTGGGCCATTGTGATGTAAAAGGATTTTGATTAATTTAGACGTCCATTTAAGTGAATAGCTACATCAATTATTTGAAGATTACACTGCTCTTTAAAGACAAACAAATCCTTTAAATACTAATCAACCTTTATCATTATGAAGTCTATTTCATTTCAATTATTCGTTTTTCCTTTCGGAATAAAATGTTGTTTACAAATTACCGCTCAATATTTCTTTTAAATCTTTTGGCTTTACTCCAAACTTCTTTTGAATTTATCGCCTGCACTGTTTCAAAACAATTGATACACCTGCAAGTCCATCGTTGAAATGATGAAGAAACAATATTAAATTCATATGGCCTGTAATGGATGTACGACATGTTTTACTTCAAAGGCAGATGCTTTCTTGTAAAACCTATGACCTTTAAGCGTTGAGTAAATCTCAAAGACGGGATTTCAACCTGTTCAAATAAACGTAAACTTTTATATTTCACGCTTCCAAGTTGTCTATAAAAAGGAAAATGATTGTTGTCCACGCGATGATCATTGATCCATGATGTACTACAAAAAATGTTTCTTCAAGTGAAACCAAACTATTCTGCGTTGTATTTTGCTTCTTAAGACTTCAAAAAAAGTATTGCTCAAAAGCTTGATATTTCTAACAATTTTGTTTGTAGCAAAAATTGAAATTCGGAATTGATTTGAAGATGTTTATGTAAAAATGTTTTGAAATATAGAGTACCTGTAATAATGTTTGCCACCCGTTTGGTTGTGCAATCGCTTAAAATGTATGAAAAACCTCTAAAGCCTTAAAAGCTCGTGGTAAGTTTTTGGCTTTGTTGTATCTTTCGTCAATTGAGGTTGCAAGTAATTATAAGGTCAATATTGGCATTGGCAACAGAATTGCTCACTGGTTTTTGTGCATGGTTAAAAGTCAATGCCCGAGGGCTATGCAATTGTACTAAAAGAAAACAATAATTATTTATGGAAACGTACGGGAATCATAGGAAAATTTATTTTTATGCAGAGTAAGCCCGCCTTATTAGGATTACTTTATTCCAAAGCCATCATCAGAGATTATACATAATATAAATCCTAACACGGTTTTAATTAGGATTACTATAGGCAAAGTCTCTGACACCTACCAAACTCAATTCTCTCTTGTCTTAAAGCCAGACGCGTAGCCAGGGTATTTTGCGCCCGGAGGCAAACTATAAAATTTTCGCCCCTCCTGCATGTTTAATTGCATTTTCTTTTACAATAACATTGTATACCTTACTGTATACGGAAAAACAGTTCACATTTCAATAGACCATTATTTTTAAAGAAGAAGCAATATTATACAATTTATTGCATATGACTCACTCAGTCATTGTCAAAGATAATTCACATAGTCTACAATAGATTTATTTTTTTTGATTTCACTGTCGCAAACTGGTCAATCACGTTATCGAAATCTATTGTTTCCAATGTCTCTCTTTCAACGCTAAGAAGAGCAAGATCACTGAGACATCCTGTCCCATTGATGCACGCAGATACGACAAAATTAGTTTCAATTTGCTGAACGACTGCTCACAACTTGCAATTGAAACTGCTATTATTAACAAAATTTGTAGTGAAATTCGCAAATTCGGAAACACGTCATCGCCATAAAACCCAATAAAACAAAGGAGATCCAAGGGAGTTTCTGGTAGAGCTTCAGTTCGGTTACGGAGCAGCATTCTGCAATCACCAATTTCGATGAAACATTCGTAGCCATTGATGTCCGTGTTGTAGAAATTTGCAAAATCTGCACAATTTCGACGAATTGCATCCTCATCTGTGCCAGATAGAAGAGTCTTAACGTCCAGCAAAATCCAAATTTATTGTTCAGGTCTTTTAGTCGTGAAAAACGTGTTGACATCTCATGTTGAAGCCGAACAAATACATTCTTCATAACGCGCACAATTTCTTCTTCTGATGAAAGTCCTGCATCTCTTGCCAGTTCTCCAGGCATTCTCTTAACATGCTTGATTCTTCTGTCCACCTCAATCCCCCAGGTCGAGCATTTTGCTTTGGCGTTTTCTACAGCAGCTTGGCTCAAACCATCACCAAGCGTGGCAAATTCTTGCTCCAAAGATTCAATATCAATTGCAGCTTCCTTGAAATTCATTTTATGATCCTGTAGGCGCTTCTGTACCCGATCAATTTTCCCAAGAACTGCATTCCAGAATTGTAATAAAACTATGAAATTAAAATTCAATACGCGAGCATGTAACTGCTGTGCACCACTTCTAGTTTCAGCGGTCATAGTACAGTCCTCCCATAATTTTTCTAGCAATCTTACTAGTTCATCCACTGCTTGTGATCGTGCACTCCAGAGTGTTTCAGACTCTCGTTTTACTGTTATCGGAAGAGCTCTTTTTAACTCTTTCCAACGAATTGTTGAATGAAAGAAGAATGAATACATACTTTCGAGTGTCGCAAAAAATATGACGACAACTTGATCTTGCTTAGCTGAGTGTATTCCTGCTAAGTTTAAGCAGTGGTTATCACAGTTCACAAACAGTGCTTTGTGATTTCTGTCATATATTCGTTGTTGAAGGCCAGATACATGTCCAGTCATCACAGCTGCATTGTCATAACATTGTGCTCAACAGTCGGCTAGTGGTGTCTCATCAATCTCTCGACCACGACTTTCTCTAGGCTTGCTGCATCTTTTGAATGTATCTCGATATAACCTAAAAATTCCTCTTTGATAGTTATTTTTTAATTTGAAAATCCACATCCACAAATCTTATGACCTGAGAAAGTTGCTCACGGTGTCCTAAATCAGAAGTTGAGTCTAGTAAGATTGCCTAGCATTTGTTCTTCCTGATATCACTTAACAATTTGCTCTTTACAGTTGATGCAAGTATATGAATAAATTCATTCTGAATTTCGGATGTCAAATAGAAAACTGATCCCGGATTTTGTTCTGCATGTTGGACGTGTTTTGCCAATAGTGGGTCATACTGAGCAACGAGTTTGATCAGCGCGAGAAAGTTTCCAATATTTTTATTATTTTGGGCGTTCAAGTTTTCCTCATGACTACGTAGTGCCAAATTTTGTGAAACCAGAAATTTAATACAGCTGAGTATTCTTTGTAATATATCCCGCCAGTGCTGTTTTTCCAAATGAATCTGCGCTTGAACGACTGCGTCAATTCCTGTACCACCAACTAGCCGTCGTTCAGCTTCCTTCCATTTAGTAAAAGAAATGCGATGACTAGGATTGTTTTCATGACATTTTAATTTTTCTGGCTTTCTCCACTTGTTGAAACCGTTTTTTAACTCAAACGCAGCTCGCGAATTTGAAGTCGATGATGTAAATAGTAAACAACAGAAATAGTAGTAGGCAGCTTTATTGATTGGTGAATATAACAGCCATGACCGATTTACTTCCTCTCCATTCACCAGTTGACGTTTAAACCATGCCGATGTAATCGAAGTTCTCCGTATACTGATGATAGATTGTCTGTATGCCGAAAAGGTAAGGATCCGAGAGTAATTATTTCATTGCGAAGAAATTGTGATACTCGCGGAAGCTTTGTCATTTCGTCAAATTCTAAGTAACCAACATCATGAATTTTTAGTACAGCAGGAACCACATCATATTGAGTATTTGTATTTGCAACTTCTCTATCACAAAATTCTTCTGCCTCATCTTCCCCGTTACTTTCAACAAGCTCGTTATTATGTTGGACCTCTTGGTCTTCAGTATTTTCGGTGTTTTTTCCAGTGTCTATAATAATATCTGTTTGAATTGTTTTTTAATCCAAGTCATCAATGTTTTCATCACTAGCATCGACATGCTCTGAAACAGGTGGTTGATAACCGCAGTCTTCTGATTCTGAAGAACTGAAGATTGCAGCTCCAGCTTCTTTCTTGGCTTTCTTTAAAAAACCTGCAAGTAATATACTTGATTTTTGGATGCTATTTCGGCTTCCTTTATTCTTTTGCGACCTTCAGCTCCACTTCTTTTCTTCTTGAGATGACTAAAAAAAATAAAAAAATATTTTATTATATCACTGAGTGCAGTGAAAAACAGCTTTATAATGTTATACCATCGGTAAAAATTCATACATTCCCCTGAGTGCCAAACATACACGGCCAATATAAATTTGAATACAAATTGCAAAAGCATAAACATATAAACAATATCACGACAAACAACACATGAGGCCAACTCTTCGCAAAAGGTTATTTTTTACAGCTGAAACTTTACTAAAGTGAGTTCGCTGTAACTTACAACTTGTAACGAGGAAAAGCCAACTGAAAATTACACTGTATGCTAAAAAGACAATACAATAAGAAAATATGACGAGAAAATATTCAAGCAAAAATTTTTCTTACATCGGAAGGTAAATTTTCAAACGGTGTCAGATAGTGTTTGTCTTTTTTTGTCATTTCAGTGGATTTAAAGATCTGTTTTTCCGAAAAAATAAGAAACGTGAATATATATGTACAAGGTGCTCTATTTTTGAAGACGACGAAGAGAGTGTTGGCTGGAAAGCAGGACGAGCGGTTTCTCGTTGTGTTGCATGTTTTCGTGAAAACATTGGGAGTGAGGAAGTCGATCAAGAAATTGGTAGGAGTACATCTTCTCGGGCGAGCATACGTTCATTTCGACTGTCCTCTTGTGAGAGCACCGAAGGCGAAGTAGAATCGACCAAGGCATTAAAACAATTGAATAAAAATTCTTGTAGTTATGATATTCTTTGCACGCTTGAAGACCACCGGGGGGGGGGGCATTTTATAGGAATATGACAACCATCCAAAGCAGCCCAGCTACAGGGAAATTGCCATGATTCTTCCATGTCCACGATTTTTTTCTCGAAATCAGTCTGACATTTCGGCATGTTTTTTGAAATTGTTTCATTCCATAAGTATTCAACGAGAAGTTGACATACCTGCTGCATAATGGTGCTCACCGTCGATACGCCTCTTCCTGCCATTTCAGCGATGGTGTAAAAGTAATCTCCTCGTCTCAATCTGTAAAGGCATATACCAAGTCTTTTCTCCGGAGAAATGGGTTCCTCTGTGACAATTTGCTTTTGAAGTATAGGTCGAATACGACTTAAAATAAAAAGAAAGTTTCCTCGAGATACACGAAATGTTTTTTTTGAATCGAAGATCAGAATAAATACTCCAAACTTTCTTCCACCAGCCGGAATTTCTATCTTGTCTTCGAAATGATCGATACGGAGGGCTACGTATGAAAGCATTTTTTTGACCAATTAACGGTAGAAAAACATGGGAAATTTGCAGAAGCCACCGTCTCGTTTCTAATAGTTTATTTGCTGTAACATGCATCAATATTCGTCTTTTCCTATTAACACGAATCATATTTGAAATGCATAAACTCAACATTTTCCTGTTCGCCATTTTAGGAAATTAGTACAAGAAAATGAATAAACTATGAAAAAGTGGAAACATAACTACAATAAATGCGACTATTAAATTCGACGTCTGAATCAAACTAGGCATAAAACTATTTTAGTCGACTAAAACTCAGATTTGATTAAGTGCATGTAAAATGCGACGTTTGAACCGTGCCTTAAACTCAAAGAAGCCCTTTATATCAAGAAACGTAAACCTAACCTCAACAAACAAATACAACATCTTAACACTATCTTTCACCTGTAAATAGCTATTACTACCTTATCAGATATTATTCATTTTCTTTGTAATTTTTTTTTCCTTTGATAAAACCTAACACAAACATTTTCTCCTTTGATAAAACCTAACACAAACACCTCATTCAACTGTAAATAATTATTCATAACTATTCGATATTTACGCTTTATCACTATAACATATTATCATGTAAACTTCCTATATTTATTCACTTGGCACTGAAGATGGCATAAAGTATGCCGAAACATGTTTGCTTTAAAAAAATTTGTCGTTTATTTTAAATGTCTTAAAACGTTTTAAAACATCACTCAAAAACGTGTCTCTATAATGTCACAAGTTTCAGGTTAAATGTGGTGGGTAAAGTGAAGTAGATTTGCACTTTAAAAAGTAAATGTGTTCACAGAAAAGAAAGTTTATGCTGAATTCCCCGGGATTCTTTATTTCTGTATACGCACACTTGAATGTGCTCTAGGAATCAACGTTCTCTGCTGTTAACACTAAAATATATTCTTAGCGCTTTGAAAATTCTTGATTTGTGTTGGTTATACATATATCTTTAACCTATAGTTTTATACTCATCAACCCTATAGTTCTGTAATTGGTAGCCGTATAGTTCTATAGTTAATGTGTAAAAGCACTGTCTGGACTGACGGACATACCGTAGTAAATATGATTGACATTTATTGGGAGGGACTTAGAAGTGGGTTGTTTTTTTATGATAGTGAAATAGTGATGTACCATTACGATTATTCTTTAGTATCTGTACTGTGATTAGAATAAGAGCAAACGTTCGTGCACGGTGACTGTATTCAAAACGGCAACTTGGGGTTGCATGAGTACAATATATTTAGTTGAATAAACGTATGTCTGTGAGTTTTCGAGGACTACGATCTAAAAGCGGAGGTAAATTCTCGACATAGTGGCACCTCCGACGGGATACTAAAGAACTCAAGAAATAGTAACGAGAAAAATGGCTTCAGAAGAAACGGAGACTGGGGAATCAACGTTGGAAAACACGAACTTGACGAGAATAGAAAAGGAGCTTGAGGCCAAAACTCATACAGTTAAGACTAATGTTGAAACGAACGGAAAAGGTCTTGGCCTCAGGTAAGCGCAAAACCATTAAACGTCATGTTGAAGCACTGCAGTCAGTGAACAGTTCTACAAACCAATGTAAGCGATTAGTTGAAGAACAAAAAATCGCTAGTAAAGTTAATATTGACTTAATTTCGGACTGGAACGATGATCTTGAATTAAGGTTTGAGGATGCTGACGCCCAGATTTCTCTGCTTGATAAATGGCTTGCCGAAAACGAAAGGCAATCTAGAGTAGAAACCGAAGCAGAGATATTTCGAAGAGAATTAAAACTGCATGAAGAAAAATTGCGAATGGAAAATGAAATGTCCGCTTCGAAGTCGGAAACGCGAGAATTTTCCCAGCTGAATGCCAAATTACCAAAGTTAGTTATATCGAAGTTTGAGGGTTCCTTTATGGATTGGCCCATGTTTTGGGGACAGTTTTCTGAGGCCATTGACAAAAGTTCCATTGCCGCAATAACTAAGTTTACGTATTTGTTAGAATTGTTGAATCCAAAGGTTAAAATATGTGTTGAGTCACTCCCTTTTTCAGCCGAAGGCTACAACCGAGCTAAATCCATCCTTCAGGATAAATACGGCAAAGAGTCTGAAATTGTAAAATGCTATGTCAAGGAAATCCTCGAACTGCCGCACATTTCAGGCAAAAATCCGCGTAAAATTGCAGATTTTAGCGAAAAACTTGCATATTGCGTGCGAGCTTTAGAAACCTTAAAGAAGCTTGATGATATAAACGGAAACGTGGCCATGACCTTAGATAAATTATCAGGGATAAGGGCAGATTTAGTCCGTACCGACCCAGATTGGGAGTCTTGGAGTTTTGCTCAGCTTTCTGAAGCTTTGCGACAGTGGGTAAAACGAAATCCAGTAGTCAATAAAGCCCGGCGGACACGAGAGCTACGTGCTTAGCAAAATGTCATTCGTGTCAAGTGGCGCGAGCAAGTTGCTCTCGTGTGCGCGTACTGTTTCCGACGACTTTTGCCTTTCCAGGCAGAACTGGCAAATATCAAACATGTTTGATATTTTTTGCCACGCGTGGCGAAATGCTTTGTCGATTTGTCCGTGTGCGGCGTCTTGAAGCAAATTGCTTTTGTGTTTTCATCACAGCGCATGCTCAATAAATCTCATATCAAACCAAATTGGCGGCTTCCTCAAATGAGTTAAATTCTGTGCCATTTTCTGATTCCGAAGAACAAGACGAAATAGCACTTTTATGCCTGTTGCTAATTTGCCGTAGACGCAGGCGTTTACCAGCTTCTTGTCGTAAAACATGGACGAAGCGGTGGATTATGAGACGAGAAGCGCAAGGCGCATTTAATAACCTCATACGAGAATTAAATGCCGAAGATCCTGAAAAATTTCGGCAGTTTCATCGGGTGGACAGGCAGTCATTTGAAGAAATTTTGAGCCCCGTTTACACGACAACTGTTTTGGGCACGGCACGACTAAATTTTGGCACGCGGGCCACTGTCTTTTATTAGGTCCGCTTTGTTTACACGTCAGTTTTTTAAGCGGGCCATTTTTTTAATAGGCACGCCTGATTTATAAAAACGGCCTGCATAAAGTATGAGCCCCAAAAAATAAGTGTCGGCGGATGACAAAAAAAATTAAATTTGGCGGATTATTCGAAACTTCAAACATGGCGAACTTACATAATGATAAGGTAAAGATAGCTTTAGCTTGGTATATGGACTTCCGAAAACAACAGCAAACCGTTCAAACGAGGTTTAGAAGCTGCGTTTCTTCAGGAGTATCATGTCTTAAGAGAAATAAGCGTCGATTTGCCTTAATCAAAGCAGTACTGGCCTATTTGCATAAACCACGAGAAAGGTTGTTGTGGATGCATCCACGTTCACTAGTTTGGTTTGATATGGTCGATGAACTCTACAACGATGAACTGTGGTACGCAAATTTTCGCGTGACAAAAAGCACGTTTGAATTTATATTAAACAGGGTTCGTCAAGAAATAGATCGTAAAATTACTCCCATGCGTACTCCAGTTTCTGCAAAACGACGCCTGGCCATAACGTTGTATTATTTATCGTGTACAGCAGAGTATCGAACTGTTGCTAATCTTTTTGGCGTCTCGCGTTCATTAGTGTGTCAGTGCATTAAAGAAGTAAGCTGTGCAATAATAAAGCACTTTCCCAAAGCAATCACTTTTCCTAAGGGAGACGACCTCTTTCAAGTTTTGCAAGGTTACGAAGAGCAGTGGGGTTTTCCTATGCGTGCTGGTGCAATAGATGGCACGCACATAGCACCAGCTAATAGCAACATAGAGTACGTGAATCGTAGAGGTTTTCACAGTATCGTGATGCAAGCGGTCGCTGACTGTAATTACATGTTCCTAGATGTGGTTATAGGATGGCCTGGTAGCGTCCATGATGCGCGAATTCTTTCTAACTCTACACTTTTCTCAAATGGAAATAAGAAACGTCTTTTCCCTCCCGACGTTGTGAAGGAAATTAGCGGAGTGGAAATAGCACCGTTTCTCCTAGGTGACCCAGCTTACCCTCTCTTGTCGTGGTTGATAAAGGGGTATCCTAAAAATGGGGCTACTGAGGAACAGAAGAAGTTTAACTACCATCTTAGTCGTGCAAGAATGACCGTGGAAAACACATTTGGGAGATGGAAAGGACGCTATGCAAGATTTAGTAAAAGGCTAGATATGGAAGTAGCTTCTTCAGTCGATATTATTCATGCATCATGCATTTTACATAACATATGTGAACTTCAGAAGAACGAATTCATGCCCGACTGGGATTCGGTAGAAATTGTTGATGATGCTTTTGTTGTGGTGCCAATTGATGAAATAGAACCAGAAGATGCTTACGATATTCGTGCTGCTTTATCAAACTATTTTTCTTAAACAGTTCTTTAATATTCGTTTGAAATTTAACGTTACATGAATTCAACAATTCCACAAAATGTTGTTACCAAAATCATTTGAATTAGGTTAATATTGAAATAACAAATAAAATTAAATTTGAAAGACACTTGTAAGTTGTAAAGACCCTGCATTTTGTTATCGTGCCGTTAAACGACTGACATAACCTGTTAAAAAGCAGTTACTGAAATATCTAAAACATGTCCACCTGCAGGGGCGGATCTAGACCGATGCAACCGATGCGAATGCATCGGTCAAAATATTTAGATATTAAAATCTGCGAGTTTGCATTTTAATGAAATAAATAGCAAATATTATTTTCGAATTATTTAAAACGCACATTTGACAGTGATATATTGTTTAGTTAACTTATAGATTTAGCAGTTTTACGCTAAAATTTGTTCTAGAAATAACATTTGTGTTCTCCGATAATTTTGTCGTATTCCATGACACAAATAGCGAAAGAAAAGTCGATAAAATTTAGCGAAATTTTGTCGTGAATACATAATTAGTAAGTAATTTAATAGTATTCTGCCAGCACGTCACGGTAGATGGAAGAGGCATCGCTACGTCACAGTAGATTTGCGATGCATCGGTCCCGAGTCCTTTTCCGCGTGAAATCTACTGTGACATCAGCAAAACCATTGTTTTAGGGCCTCACGTCACGGTAGATTTTGCCGCTGAGCGATGCATTTTTCATAATTTTGTGATTGTGGGCACATGGCACCGATGCATTCAACTTTGCACTTCAAAGTTGAATGCATTGTTATTTGATCACTTGATATAACTCGCAATCATCGATCGAAGTCATAGCTGTCGAGAATATCAAACACGATCTGTGTACTCTGCTTCGAGAAGAGAAGTCATTTGATATTAATGGAGTGCGTCGAACCTATGAAACGAGAGCTGCTACTTTTATTTCAAAATCCTCTCCTTGGAATCCCTTTTCAAAGGGTAAAAATGGGAGAGATATGTCAAGTGAAATGTTAATACCTAAGCACTTGACAATTCATTGGCAAAGTGGAGAACTAAGAGCTTTAAAGTAAGTAAATTTACCTTTATGCTTGCATGTTTTGGAGCGATTATAGAATACCCGTCCATTTTTAAAGGCACCCATACAGGCTTAAGCATTCAACAAGGCATATTATATAAGTAGATAGTGAGTGGACGGGTATTCTATAATCTAGCACATGTTTTAAATGTAAATAGTGTACTCATTTCAGAACGACGAACAATCATCATAAAATATACGCGATGTCATATTACTTATGCAGCACTTATACTTGTATTCATATGTAATATAATACAATCGCTGGAAAATGCTTCTCGGATAGTGAAAATTCAAAAATTTTCTGGGGGAGCATGCCCCCAGACCCCCCTAGCGGTGGCTCGCGCCTTCGGCGCTCGCAATGCATCGGTCAGCTAAGGAGCTGGATCCGCGCCTGTCCACCTGTTCAGTGAAAAGCAGGTAAAGAAAACGAATATAATGAAGAAATATCAGCAGTTTAAATGATAACAAAGTATTACAATTGCAAAAAGGTTTTTTCTGTGTTTGAATCACTTTGAACGCTGCTGTCACGTGGATATACTTGTGAACCAAATTGATCAACACTGTACCCAATATGATAATTATGTTGTTGGTAACCATTTATCGGAGCAGAAGGCTGTTGAGCTGGTGATGATAACATCATACGCATCATATTTAGCTCATGTGCCCGTTCCTCTCTTCTTCTCTCATTTTCAAGCTGAATTTGTTTTAATCGAAATTCATTTTCTCTATCAATGCGATCCTGTTCAAACTTCTGATACCTAAAGACAATTTACAATGACAGTAACAAAAATGTCGTAATATTTAAATGCGCGAGAAAATTTCATATGCGATCATCATTTTGTAATTTTTCGGTTTTTTCCCTAAAATATTAAATTTAGCAAGACCATTTTCTAACAATTTTGCATTTGTCAACTCAAGTCACAGAGAGGTGCCAACATGTCAACACACATATTCACGCACGTTCGAAATATACAGTACCTCATTCCTTGCATTAATCTGTAAATAAATCCCTACTCAGCACATATGCGTTTCATATTGAGACTCGTACATGATTTGCTCAATACCTTTCAAATTCAGCTGCTGACGACTGTTCAAATTTTGCAAATATAACCTCTAAGCTTTTCTCTACATTGCTTTTTCTTTTTTTACGGGGCAAACTTGGGGCCGTTTCACGATTTGACTTTGTTTCTTCTGTCGATGGTTTTTCTTGACTTCTTCTCATGTTTGTGACTGGATTAACTTCTTTTTGGAAATTCATAACTGGACAATTGTCGTTTCCACCGTTATCATTAAAGCCTTTTTTAGCAACAGAAATTTCGTTTGTTAAACATCATTTATTACAAACATTATTGGGGGAAGCTAGGTGTCAGAAGTTTATTTCACAAACTATATCTCATATGAGTCAAGTATTGTACCATAGTGTATAGTTCAACCTGGCAAAAAAAAACAGAATATGGGGTAAAATGGTGCATTACACCGGTAAGACATACCAGAAATGTTTTCTGGCTGTTGCTTGTCATTTTCTGAAGAGCAATTTGGGCAAGAAAACTGGTCGTCATTGGCGTACACAATAACCGCCCCATTTTCAGTTACATGTACCCCACCACTTTTTAACTCTTCTTCGTAATCACAGGTAGGACACTTTTGAAGATGAGATTCACCTTTGCCATACATATTGATCATATCATTAACTTTAAATACAATAAACTATGTCTGACAACAATTTTAGTATAAGTAAGTAAAGTAAGACTGAAATCTGAGTTTTCTAGCCACCCAAAATACATGTCAATGCAAAACGTTTTGCAATGATGTCATTAACTTGAAGTTTTTTTATCAAGTCTATGTTGTATGTACAGCAATTCAGTCTTGCAAAACACATTAAATCAACGATATAAGATAAAATATTGTTATTTCAATTACAAGAATGGTAAAAAATTCATGCCTTTTGATTGTTTTGAATTTGCCTGCTTATCAAATTTTATATACTCTATTGCGTTTTCAATGATTAGTAAAGTGTGAACAGGTTAGGCTTTAAGTTTCAGTTTGAAAACAAAAGAATAATAGTGTTGATTATTCAAGCACATAAAATGCCATAACGTACGAGCAAATATGATATTTTTTACAAAAGTGGTCACTCCATTTAAGTGAAAATATTTGATTAGAGGTTGTTAATGAAAGGTGGTCACAAAACGCAGAAATTTCACAAATCATATTTAGCTGTAACATTAAAAATGTTTTTATTTTGAAAAAGATGACTTCATCTATACCTTGGTCGAAACTGCTATCCTCTAACCTTCCCTGTTCTCCATCATCAAATTCATGCACACCTTGTTCATCACCTTCTGCCATAGTGTCGATGATTTTTAACGGATTGACGTTGTGTCGTACAGTTAGAAAAGCATCAATCTCGTTAAAAGACTTCCACTTTTTTAAGACACCCATTCCTGTTTGCCGTGACCTATCTTTTTCTTTCCTATATCTCTGGCGTAATTTCTTTATTTTATTTATCAATTCCTTTAAGGTAAACCCTTTATATCCATTTTCTTCCAACTGAGACTGTAAAACAACACAGAATAATATATTGCTTTATATTATTGGCATATAAATAATAACAACTGCGTTCAAACTTTAGTTCAAGTGAAGGCAGTGGATAGGCAATTATAACTTCTGCAAGATTGAAAATTCATTCGATCATTGCATCCTTTGGCATATATAAATTTAATGATAAAGCTGAATGAATTGAATCATGATATCCAATTAATAAGCTGAATGCATGTATATCCAGTTTCAAAACGTCTGGCAGAAAATGCTATGTTAATATTTCATTAAGACTGCAGCATGGTTTGTGCATTTATGTATTTGTCTCCATATTCACACACTTTATATTTTAATATTTATTAAAAACATTATAAATGAACAGTTTCTTTAATGACTCACCAGCAATAGTTTATTCACATTACACGTTGCCCGCGCACTTTTGCATGCATCCAATGATACTTGAATAGTTTCCTCTGCCCACAATGATATTAAACAATGTGTTGCTTCGTCCGACCATTGCTTTCCTCTTGTTTTAGCCGCCATCTTTCTTCATAATGCGCGTGCGTAAAAAATTTGGGCCCGCGTGCCATGTTTTTGGCGTGCCGAGACTACCTCTGGAGAAGGTCTCGGCCCGCCAAAATGTTTCGGCACGCGGGCCGTCTACGTAGCCGTTTACACGTCAAAATTTAAGAGTGCCGTGCCAGTATTTGTGGCCCGCGTGCCAAAATTTAGTCGTGCCGTGCCCAAAACAGTTGTCGTGTAAACAGGGCTTTGTTCGTGTTGTTATGCCTGGACCGCCATTTTGGTTTGATTTGAGATTTATTGAGCTTGCGCTGTGATGAAAACAGAAAAGCAATTTGCTTCAAGACTCCGCACACGGACAAATCGACAAAGCATTTCGCCACGCGTGGCAAAAAATATCAAGCATGTTTGATATTTGCCAGTTCTGCCTGGAAAGGCAAAAGTCGTCGGAAACAGTACGCGCACACGAGAGCAACTTGCTCGCGCCACTTGACACGAATGACATTTTGCTAAGCACATAGCTCTCGTGTGCGCCGGTGTCACAGTGATATGGGTATCCCCGTGTTTTGGGTATCCCCGTACTTAAATCACTAGTGTTTTGGGCATCCCCGGCAAAAATGGCTGCCGTATTTTAGGTATCCCCATCCGACCACTCAGGGTTCACAAATCACTAGTGATATGGGTTTCCCTATACTTGTTCCCATTCCTACGCTTGTTTCAGGGGTTTCCCTACTGTGGATTAAAGGATTTCCCCTGACTTAGCGGGAACAACACAATTTTGCGCGAAACAAAACCAGATTTCAGTATTTCAAAAATTCGTGATGGATCCAACAAAATATAAAAATCTACTTCAGTATGTTAAACATTCCGTGTATCCCGAGTGTTTTACCAAGCAAGACAAACTTGTTTTGCGCAAATTTTCAAAAAAATTTGAATACGATAAAAAATTAGACTCGTTGTTGTACTTGGACAAGACAAAAGAAGGCACAGTTAAACGCTTAGTTATATGTGAAGATCAAAAGTCAAGGGTTTTCGAAGAATGCCATTCGGCAACTTACGCAGGCCACAGTGGAAGAGACAATACCTTCAAGAAGATACGAGATAGATATTATTGGCCAGATTGTTACAAAGACACAGTTGAAATGGTAAACTATAAATCTATTACAAAATAACCAAATTGAAGAATGTTATAAATGTAATGAAAATATATTAACAAGTGCAACAGTAATAACATAAAAATTTTAAAATGACAATCATATTTTACAAATCTTTGATGTTTTCCTAGATAAAACAATGTGATAGATGTCAGCGTAATGCAGCAGAAAAAAGTACGTGTGACGTTCTTCACTCAGTCAAAGTGGTTCCTCGAGTATGGTACCTGATTGGTATTGATCTCATTGATGCACATACAAAATCAAAAAAGGGAAACAAATTCCTATTGACACAAACAGACTATTTCACAAAATATGTCGAGGCAATTCCAATTCCAGATAAAACAGCTACCAGTGTGGCCAAAGGTCTCTATTCCACTTTCTGCAGACATGGTTCTCCTGCCCACATTATTACAGACCAAGGACGAGAGTTTGTGAACCAGGTTATGAAATACAATAGTTATTAGCTAATATATTTTCAATAATTGACTAGCACTCTTATTTCTTTCATGGATCTGTCTGGTGAGTATGATTAACACTCTAAAAGGGCTATAAACGGCTTACATTTAGGACTTATTTCCTGAAAAATCAACAGTAAATTTGATTTACCAAAATTCTGTTACTTCTTACTATAACAAACTCTTTTTAATTATTGAGAATGACATTGGTTAGCTTGTTTACTTAAAAATATATGTTTTAGGTGAATGAGGAATTATTCACAGTTTTTAAAATCCATCATCGCATTACTTCAGCATACCACCCTCAATCAAATGGCCAAGATGAGAGAACTAATCAGACGATTAAAAAGTATTTTTAAATTAACATGTATACTTAACTTGTATTCTTATAGACCAATTTCCTCTGTTATTTTTTCTATTAAGAACTCTCAAGAAAGTTATGGATAGCAAAGCCGACATATGGGATGAATACATAGAAGGAGCACTCTTTGCAATTAATACAAATCAGTCTGCTACCACTAAATACAGTCCATTCTATTTAATGTTTGGAAGAAATCCAAGATTTCCCTTTGAAGCAGACCTCACTGAGGAAAATGACATTGCAGAGCTGATCCAGGATGTGAACAGTGAAGTAGCCATAGAAAAACATGTCGAGCAAATGTCTCAAATGAGGGATAACATATTCCCCATTGTTGACTCCAACATCAAAAAAGCCCAGGAAAAACAACAAGCACAATATCAGAAAAAAAAAGGGTAAACCTGTATGCCAATTCAAGGATGGAGATACTGTCTTGCTTCGTAACATGCTACAGAAAACAAAGAAAGGGCATAAACTGGAAGATCAATGGAATGGCCTGTATAAAGTTATGGAGGTTGATGTAAATAGGGGTGTTTGCAGGTTGTTAAATCCATTAACAAACAAAGCAGGAAGACAGCAATCAATTAAAAACCTGAAGCTCTACAAACAGGGGAACAATAAAAAGCTCACAAACCAAACAACTTCTGCTGTTTGTGCACAGGTAGAAGAAAATTACACAAAGGTTGAAAAAACAGAAGCAAAACTGACAAAAAAGGGAAGAGAATGGGAAAAGAAACTGGAAGAGTTTGATGAAGAAAACTGGATGTTGAAGAAGTAAAGTATGAAGAAAAGCACAGAAGAGGCGAAGAAAGAACAAAATGTAATTGAAGAAAGAAGACAAGGCACAGAAGAAGAGAAGATCAGGAAAATGATTGACGGAAGAAAGAAGAAAGCGAAAGGAAGAAAAGAAAATAGAAGAAAAGAAGAAAAGAAGAAGGAAGAAAAGATGATGGAAGAAAGAAAGAAGAAATCAAGAAAGAAAAAGATGAGAAGAGATGAAGAAGAGAAAAAGAAAAGATGATAGAAGAAGGAAAAAGAAAAGACAACCAAGAATCAATGTCTTTGAGCAAACAGGCCTACAAAAATTTGATGAAAAATAAAAGTATGGAAAAAAGTGCCCTTCTATTACACCTTTCATGCATTAAGAATGATTTAATAAACAAATTAGAATGCGAAGAAAAATGCTGGCCTTGTGAAGTTTTCAAATCAGGTTTCAGCAAGAGTGCTCCAAACCTAAAAAAGAGAGACCTATCAGTAAATGTCTTTTTTGGAGGATTTACTGGGAAGCAATCTGACCTTATTGTAAGTAAACTTCTTGGATGGTTTCCATCTTCTGGAATAGACTTCATTACCAAAGTTATCTTCCCTGAAGCTCTTACACTTCTCAGTCAGGCCATTTTAAAATTGTCTTATTGTGAAGCTGAAAGCTACCTAGAATTTGGAGGACAATATCATGTACAGGAACTTCAAAAGAACTGGGAAAAGCAACAAAACAAGAGATGCAAACCAACAAAAACAAGCATACCATCAAAGAAATTCAAGCATGATCATACAAGGAAGCAGCCATGTGAAGAAGATGAGTGCAAGATTGTCAAGGAAAGGAAGTCGGATGTGAGTTTACTAAGCAAGATGAAGACACCAAATTATCAATTAAATGAAAATGATGAAGACGTCATTATCAAAATGGTCTGCTTACAGACATTCACATTGGCAAGGCCCAAAATTTGTTGAAGCAACAATTCCCAAGCATGGAAGGCCTCCAAGCAACAACATTAGGTATGGTGCAACAGTTTGATGTCATGAAAGGTAAATTCATTCAAGTTCTTCACACTGGTGCAAATCACTGGATATGCATTAGTAACATTCATTGTAATCAAAATAATGCTGTTAAACTCTATGACAGTATGTACTCAGGAATTAGTAACACAGTTAAAAAGGAAATTGCTAGTCTGCTATACCTTCAGTCAGAAAATGTAATCGAAATCTCAATTGAGCCAGTCACCCAACAGACAAATGGATATGACTGTGGTATATTTGCCATTGCTTTTGCTACATCATTGTGTTATGGACAGGATCCCAGCAAGATAACTTTCAAAAGGAGGAATATCCGAAGTCACTTGTGGAATTGTTTTACTAAAGGCAAAATGCATATGTTTCCATCTGTACCAAGAATGTCAAGCCCTGAACAAACATCACACAAGGTTCTTATACCAATTTACTGTAGATGTCGCCTTCCATATGTCAGGGAGGAAGATGACATGGTTGAATGTGTCAGTTGTCAGAGCTGGTTTCATAAACACTGCCTTGATGTCCCGGAACTATTTTTTAAAAAAGCAGAAATAAAATGGAAATGTAATCCACATTGTGGTCAAAAGAAGTAAAAACAGGTTAAGTGTGTGTTATGTGACTGATAATGAAAGTCGATTCTTCTTCTGAATTATTAGTACTTTTAACTATATTGCAATTTGTTTTAACATTTGTTATGTTGTATTCTTAGAGGGGTAAAAAAGTCTGATTATATCACAAGAAAAGACATTGTTACAAATGTGCGTAATTGTTGACAGTTTTTGACACTACCTAGTTAAATCATTTTATGTTTGAATGAACTCAAGACAATCTAAAACTGTTAAATTACAAGTCTATTCAAAAGTATACGTTCAATGTACTTCGCAATACAGAATGAAAAAAAATGGAAATCACAACAACAAATTTATATGTCAACGGTATCTATGAAGCATTTCATACGTAATTCAAACAAGATGCCATGAAATACCAATAAAGACATAATATTTTAGCTAGCAATAGCTGCTCATCTCACCTTTATAATGTCTGGTCATTACTTCCATACATGTCCTTTTTAGAAATACCAATTTTCGTTTCAAGCTACATGGTCTTAATTTATTTCGGCCATATGTCATGGTCTTAGTGTTTTGGGTATCCTCACGGGGGATGCCCAAAACACTAGTGATTTAAGTACGGGGATACCCAAAACACGGGGATACCCATATCACTGTGACACCGGGCTTAACAACTCGCGTCACGAAGGAAATAGAACGCACAAAGTATTTCATGCCAGACAAAACGAAGAGAAATTATCCGGCTGCGTTTATTGCGGTGATCTGGATCATAAAGCTACAAAGTGCCACAAAATAGTCAAGCCGAATGAACGCAAACGAATTTTAGCTAAGAAAGGGCTATGTTTCAATTGTGCCACGGGATTTCACAGGGCATCCGAGTGTAGAAGTAAGATTGCGTGCGGGCACTGTAACAAACGTCATCATACGTCAATCTGTGAACAGCCACGCAATATTGGAAAACAAGACGATAAACACGCAAGTGACAGTAAAGCATTAATGACCGATGGCGTGCATGTCGAGGGTATATTTCCTGTTGTTGTAGTTCAAGTGAACAATGTTAAGTGTAGGGCGTTGATTGATTCCGGTGCTGGAAGCTCATACGCCTCTGCAAAGCTAATTGATGCACTTCCAACAAAACCTAGCGATATTAATCACCAGCGTATTGACATGCTCATGACGTCACAAACTAAACGTATTGAAATTCATCGCGCGACGATTAGTGCACTAGACGGTTCTCACGTGATGAGGGTAAAGTTGAAAAAAGTAGATCGTCCAGAACTATTAACTACTAGTAACCCCCAATATGAAAAACTCGTGAGAGAATACAAACATTTAAATTCAGTAAAAATGGGCGATGTTGAATCGAAGGCTAGGTTACCAATACATCTCGTGCTTGGAAGCGGCGAGTATGCTCGCATAAAAACCAGGACAAAACCGTTGGTTGGTAACGAAGGGGACCCAATAGCAGAGCTGACAAAGTTGGGATGGATCATCATGAGCCCTGGCGTTGAAGTTGACAAGAACATGATGCTACTAACGACAACCACAAACTCGCAAAATGACCTTGAACGATTGTGCAGGCTGGATGTACTCGGTTTAGAAGACACGCCAGAGAAGAACCCTCTTCTCGTCTACGACCAATTTAGAAAAGACCTGTCTCGTGATGACGAGGGCTGTTACGAGACTGGTCTGCCTTGGAAGACATACCACCCGGAACTTCCATCATATGAGCGAGGAAGTCTGCGACGACTGAATAGTTTGATGAAACGTTTAGAGCGCAGTGGAATGTGCAAAGAATACAACGCAATCATTAACGAACAGCTGCAAAAAGGCGTAGTAGAAATAGCACCTACAGAGGCCTCCAAAAGAGAATTCTACATCCCTCATAAACCAGTTGTGAAGACAGCTGCTGAGTCCACCAAACTACGGATAGTTTACGATGCTTCAGCTAAAGAGTCCGCCACCCAACCACCGTTAAACGATTGTTTAACGCTGGACCTCCGCTACAAAATCATTTATGGGATGTGCTGATCCGTGCTCGCTTTCACCCGATAGTTGTTACTGTAGACAACGGAAAGGCTTTCCTGCAAGTACGAATCAAAGAATCGGAGAGAGATGCGTTACGATTCCACTGGAAAGCATTCGGGGATGGTGAGATTAAGGTGTATAGGTTTACGAGAGCATTGTTTGGTTTGACGTGTTCGCCATTTCTTCTTGGTGGAGTCCTGAACGAACACTTGACATCATGGGAGAGAACATATCCAGCTCTTGTAAAGGTCTTTACGTTGATGACCTTATGGAAGGCGGCACAAATGTTGGCGAAGTGTTGTTAAAGGAGAAGAAAACGATAGAAATTTTTAGTGATGCTACCTTCAAGCTTCATAAATGGCACTCCAATGCAGCTGAACTGGAGAAATCCAACAATGATCTACCCGAACAAGACATAGACCAAACAAACGCAACCTACGCAAAGGAACAACTCGGAACAGTGGACACAGGAGCAAAGATACTGGGCCTGCCTTGGAATAAACTCCAAGATACGTTCAGTGTCATCGTAGAAAAGGAAGAAAGCGCAGCGACGACAAAGAGAGGAGCATTGTCACAACTAGCAAAGATTTACGATCCAATTGGTCTTATATCTCCGACAATGCTTACTGGGAAACTCCTGTATCGGAAAATATGCGAAAGTCGTTTATCTTGGGATCAGGATTTTGATGATGTCATGGTAAAGTTTTGGCGGGATTGGTTCAACAGACTGCCTAATGCATATACAGTCAATCGTCCACTAGCACCCTTTCATGTGCCTGTATGGTCTAT